TTTCAGAGACTGTTTTTTTTCGTGGGCATGAAGTTTAAATATTACCAACAAATGATATTTAAAAAGTTCTCTTACAATGACCTAAAAATGGAAAATTAATATATGGCATTGTAGATGCTGCTTCAAAAGAATATGACATACATTGTGTTTCTTCAATTTTACAGTTTTAGAAGAAAAAAACATTTTGAAAATGTAAATTATCTAAATGTTTCTTACAATGAATGTCCGGAGCAGTGAATTCATAAATTATTTGAATTCATAAGAGTTGTTACAAATTATTTAATATTATAATACTATTATGGGACAGCTCTGTCCCATAAGCTCTGTTGTTACATTCTCATATATATTTCATATACTATATGCATCAACTATTATGGGACAGAGGCTGTACATGATATTATAATACCAGCTCTGTCCCATAAGAGTTGTTACATTCTCATATATATATATACTATATATACTATATGGGACAGAGGCTGTATCATATTATTACCAGCTCTGGACAGAGGTTACATTCTCATATATATTTCATATACTATATATATCTATGGGACAGAGGCTGTATATGATATTATAACCAGTTGTATTACATTCTCATATATATTTCATATACTATATGCATCAACTATTATGGGACAGAGGCTATATACATGATATTATAATACCAGCTCTGTCCCATAAGAGTTGTTACATTTCATATATTTCATATCTCATATATTATTTCATGATATTATATAGCTATATGTTACATTATATATATATTTCATATATATATGCATCAACTATTATGGGACAGAGGATATTATAATACATAAGAGTTGTTACATTCTCATATATATTTAATACTAGCACTGTCCCATAAGAGTTCATATACATTCTCATATATTATATATATATATATGCATCAACTATTCTGTACATGATATTATAATACCAGCTCTGTATATATTTATATATATATATACTATTATATGCATCAAGTTGTTATATATATATATTTCATATATTATGGGACATGGGAGGCTGTACATGATATTATAATATTAGCTCTGTCCCATAAGAGTTGTTACATTCTCATATATATTTCATATACTATATGCATCAACTATTATGGGACAGAGGCTGTACATGATATTATAATACCAGCTCTGTCCCATGATATATATAATACCATAGCTATATGTCCCTATATAAGAGTTGTTACATTCTCATATATATTTCATATATTATATATATATTTCATATACTATATGCATCAACTATTATGGGACAGAGGCTGTACATGATATTATAATACCAGCTCTGTCCCATAAGAGTTGTTACATTCTCATATATATTTCATATACTATATGCATCAACTATTATGGGACAGAGGCTGTACATGATATTATAATACCAGCTCTGTCCCATAAGAGTTGTTACATTCTCATATATATTTCATATATATATATATACTATTATATATATATATATATATATAATACCAGCTCTGTCCCATAAGAGTTGTTACATTCTATATATATATATATAATATATATATCAACTATTATGGGACAGAGGCTGTACATATATATTATAATACCAGCTCTGTCCCATAAGAGTTGTTACATTCTATATATATTTCATATACTATATATATATATTATGGGACAGAGGCTATACATGATATGGGACTCTGTCCCATAAGATGTTATATTCTCATATATATTACATATATAATATTATGGGACTAGGCTGTCTATAATACCAGCTCTGTCCCATAAGAGTTGTTACATTCTCATATATATTTATATATATACATCATATGGGACAGAGGCTGTACATGATATATATATATATATATATTTCCCATATACAGTATTATATTATATATATTTCATATACATATATTATGGGACAGAGGCTGTACATGATATATATAATACCAGCTCTGTCCCATAAGAGTTGTTACATTCTCATATATATTATACTATATACTATATGGGACAGATCATGATATATATGCTCTGGATAAGAGTATATATATATTCTATATATATTTCATATACTGTATTATGGGATATAGGCATATACATATATTATAATACCAGCTCTGTCCCATAAGAGTTGTTACATTCTCATATATATTTCATATACTATATATATATATTATGGGATATGTACATGATATATATACCAGCTCTGTATAGTTGTTATATATTCTCATATATATATATACTATTATGGGACAGAGGCTGTACATGATATTATAATACTAGCTCTGTCCCATAAGAGTTGTTACATTCTCATATATATTTCATATACTATATTCTATTATGGGACAGGCTGTACATATATAATTATATGTATAGTTATTACTATATATTTCATATACTATATGCATCAACTATTATGGGACAGAGGCTGTACATGATATTTTAATAGCTCTGTCCCATAATGTTACATTCTCATATATATTTATATATAATACAGTATATTATATAGGCTATATACTTATATACAGTATATATATATATATATAGCTCTGTCCCATAAGAGTTGTCCCTATTATACAGAGGCTGTACATGATATATAATACTAGCTCTTCATAAGAGTTGTTACATTCTCATATATATTTCATATACTATATGCATCAACTATTATGGGACAGAGGCTGTACATGATATTATAATACCAGCTCTGTCCCATAAGAGTTGTTACATTCTCATATATATTTCATATACTATATGCATCAACTATTATGGGACAGAGGCTGTACATGATATTATAATACTAGCTCTGTATATAAATACATATATATATTTCATAAGAGTTGTTACATTCTCATATATATTTCATATACTATATGCATCATTATTATGGGACAGAGGCTGTACATGATATTATAATACTAGCTCTGTCCCATAAGGTTGTTACATTCTCATATATATTTCCTATATGTATATATATATATATATAATATTTTCATAGTTGTTACATTCTCATATATATTTATATATATATACATGATATTATATATTCTGTCATATACATTCTCATATATATTTCATATACTATATGCCTCAACTATTATGGGACAAAGGCTGTACATGATATTATAATACTAGCTCTGTCCTATAAGAGTTGTTACATTTTCATATATATTTCATATACTATATGCATCAACTATTATGGGACAGAGGCTGTACATGATATTATAATACTAGCTCTGTCCTATAAGAGTTGTTACATTTTCATATCTCATCATGACTTGGCTTCATAAAACAAAGATCAAGAGGGAGTCTGAACACATCACTTGCAGGCATGTTTGTGAATGATAAGTCCAATTTGAACGTCTCCTTCACGTCTGTGCAGTGGCGTTTTTTAGGTGAAGTGCAGTGTGCGTTGAACTGGCCCCACCCTTTACACCTGGGATTCGATCTGTCATAGCTTAGTAAGCTGGGATGATGACAGTGAAATTCCCCAAGTCATAGGTTTTATAGAGTGTCCTTCCCTTAACATTTTTATATCTATTTTATATACTACAAGTACACCTTGAGTTATATCATTTCAAGTTAAGTCATTCTTGATTATACGTCGTTTGTCAAAAAATAAATGTATGGAAAAATATAAAAGTCATTTTATTCAATTTTATGTCTGTCTGCCACAAATAATGAAGTTATAATAATAGAAAAGTGTTAAAAGCACAAAAATCATGTTACTGTACAATAAATAAAAATAAAAGTATGTAAAATCATATTAAAATAGGTACATTTACAGTAAATGTTAATATAAGCGCTGTCTTTGAGGACCTAAACAAAAAATACCCAGATGAGAAAGATTTAGAGTTTAAAGCGAGTCATGGCAGGTTTATGAGATTTAAAGAATGAAGAAGTTATCACTACATTAAGAAGCAAGGTGAAAGTGCATCAGCTGATAAACAAGCAGCAGCTGATTTTCCTAAAGCATTGGCTAAGGTCATCGAAGAATATGGGTTTCTTTCTGAACAGATTTTTAACATTGATGAAACTGGATTATATTGGAAAAAATTGCCAGACCATTCTTTCATTGCTAATGCCAAGCATAAGGCTATATCACTGATAAATTACTTTATTCAGAACACTGTATGTACATATTATAAATACTGTAATAAGCAATGGGAAGTGCTTATTTGCGGTTTATAGTGTGGTTATTTCGACTTAAGTCATTTTTCAACCTAAGTCGTGACCTCTGGAACCAATTAACAATGTAAGGTGAGGTGTACCTGTATATGCATTGACTGTTATGGGACAGAGAGAGTAATTGATATAATACTAGGTCTGTCTCATAAAAATTGTTACATTTTGATATATATTTCAGAGACTAAATGCATCAACTATTATGAGACAGATATAGTACATGATATTATACTCTGTCCCAAAAAAGTTGTTACCTTTTCATATAAATTTGATTCATAAAATGTATCAAGTATTATGGGACTGATTTAGTATATGAAAATTATTATACTATCTCTGTTACCTAATAGCCATTACATTTTTATATATAGTTCCTATACCATATGTAACAATTATTATAGGACAGATTTAGTATATGAAAATGATTATACTAGCTCTGTCCCCTAATAGCTGTTACATTTTCATATATATTTTTGACACTATAAGTAACAATTATTATTGGACAGAGGGAGTATATGAAAATTATTATACTAGCCCAGTCCCCTAATAGCCATTACATTTTCATATATATTTTATACATTAAATGTATCAACTATTATGGGACAGAGGTATTACATGATTTTATTATAATTACTCTGTTCCATATGAGTTGTTACATTTTAATATATATTTCAAGTACTAAAAGTATCAGCTATTATGGGACAGAGGCAGTATGAAACAAATTTCACTGCTCCCCCCTGATACTTTTTCTAAAGACAACAAAATTACACAAAGTCAATTTTTGAAATCAGTGAACATTTTTTAGGGAGAACAATTAAATAGGATATTAGAAAAAAAATTACTTACTCGTGTCTCATTTTTCTGGGCAGCATGTGGTACAATAACAGGAGCTTCCAGCTGTGAAGTCAGTACCTCCCCTCGATCACCAAGAGTGAAAACTGTAGATCTGTTCTTTAAAGATGGTTTGGTAGCAAAAAAACGTTTGGTGGTTAAGGAACCAAAAATACCATCACTTCTCAATAGCATACTGCAGAATATTGTGAAGAAAGCAGCTTTATTTACAGTCAGACTAATATCCTCATCTTTATTGTAAAGATGAGGATATTAGTCCAACTGTAGATAACAACACCTAATCCCTGAAATTCAGAGAAAATCACATTAAATTTAGCTAGCTAAAGTGGGGAGTTGGATATATATATTAATACCATTGTTGGAACTACTTAAATAGATGGGTCCACTTGTAAAAAATTGGGAGAGGGAATAACCTTTATAGATTAACAGTCATTTGATCTTCCTCAAGCTATGACGTTTGTCAAAACAGATAAATATTGATTTCTTATCGATTTAGAAATGGCAAGTTCCTGTTCATAATATTGATACAGTGTAAAATCGAACTGACTTTTTACAGAGTTATCTGGACCTAGCCATTATTTACAAAATGTAAAGTTTAAAACTGTGCTTACATTGATATCTGCATAATTTTTTTTCATTTTCTAAACTTTTTAAAACTTTTTTTTTAACATTTAAAAAAGATTTGTTGGGGAGGATTTTTTTCAGAAACACATGCACAAACATTGGTTAGGAATAATTATCGTAAATGAAGCATAAACAGTCATATAACTTTATTAATTAATAAATATTTTTGTTCTTTAATGAAAAATAAAAAAAGTCTGTTTTTACATGAGAAGTCCATATAACTCTGTAAAAAGTCAGGCATCGATTTTACACTGCATAAATATTAAGAACAGGACTCTTCTAAACATGAAAAAATTAATATTTTTCAATTCCGACAAATCTTGAGACTTGAGAAAGGTCAAATGTATGATAATCTACAAACATTATTTATAAGTAGTGCACCATTGTATCTACCAACTTATCTATGTAAGGTGCATTTTATACTCCAAAAGAATCAAATATTAAAACTTCATCCACTTTAAAAGATCAAAAAGTTAAAGGAGTTATAAAACTCAAGACAACAGGCAAGTCTATATCTTTCTCTATTTTCCTCACTTTGTTTTTCTCTATCTTTTTTTTTACTTACCCTCATCCTTTCTTTTATACTCTCCCTTGATTTTAGTTTCTTTCCTCTTCTCTCATTTTTTCCTAGTTCTGTTGTCTTATGGAAATGAACAGACAGACAGCTGGTAGCTATATATATAATTATTTTTTTAAAAAATATGATTCCATTGCAACACAGAAGATCCTATGTTTCAAAACAGAAAACTCTAAATCTAGATTAATTTTAAAAATTAAATCTACAATACAGAATTTTGTTCCATTATCAAGTGATCTTAAAATTGCTTGATAATGGAACGAAACTCTGTATAGTAGATTAAATTTTTAAAATTAATCTAGATTTGGAGTTTTCTGTTTTGAAACATAGGATGTTCTGTATAAGCGATGGAATTATTTTTTTTTTTTTTAAATTATTATAATATTAAGCTCCATATTGAGCACTGTTTTTTGAAAATAAAAATAAAAGCTAAGAACCTTGAATTATAAATGTCACTGTTCTTTCTTATTATTTTAATATATATATATATATATATATATATATATATATATATATATATATATACACACACACAGACACACAAAGTGGGGGTAAACAAATATTTGTACATATACAAATTTTTAATTTATTGTATTCCCAACTAATGAATAAACATACTTTTTATATAATTAACTGTACACAGATGCATCATAACTAAATATGCATAGAAAACAAAAAAAAATTGATTTAATAGAAATAAATTCCATTTGGGCCAAAAGTCTGATTTAGGCCCAAATTCAGATTTGGGTGAAAATTCCAATTCAGGCCGAAAACTGAGTTCCTCAAATCACGTTCAATTGGAATTTCATTTGAGTTGAGTTCTTTAAATCAAAAATTCTACAGAACTTCAAAACCTTCCGTCACAAAAACCTCTCACTTTAACTCTGATTATTTGGCATTTTGAAGAAATAAAATTGATTTCCTCAATTCAAAGATTTGGAGAGTTCTTTAAATGAAATTAAAAACAAAAAATTTTAAATTCAAAAAGATTTTGTGTTATGTTGTCGTTTTGTGTTAAATTAAACTCAATATAAATTAAAAACTTAAAATCACTAATTTTTTTTCAATTATTTTAAAATTTGAATTTTTAACTCCCCTCCTCAGCAGAACACAAATCCCAATGCTGGATGTTCAAACACTAGAAGAAAGGCAGATTTTCAATCCCGGGATCATCCTGATTTCAAAAAGGTATATGTCTATGTAGAGCAAGTGTGGCCCAAGTTAAAGGGGTTTTAGACACACGGGCAGACAGACAGAATTTGCCATTTATTTATTTAGAATAGAGGAGAGTTGAATCCTTTGATCTTTTTCACGATGTTGTAGTGACTACTCCGATTTACCACGCCCACAAAATACTCAGTTATAATTGGATAGAAAATAAGTACTGTTTACTACAGGACAATTTACCTATCGCAGTAACCACACAAAATTTTCTGCCATGACTTTGCCTAATTAGGTTTTGTGGAAATAATCAGTGATTGGTCAATTTTTATCCAATCGTGTATTTTAGATATTCCTTTCGATATTTTTCCTGCTTCTCTCTGGAGCCTACCCAAAGAGTATTTAAACAGTTTGTACTCCAGAAATAAATTAGTAGAACAATAAATCAGCTGAACTCAGCAACGCACGCGTATCTACATTCTTCTACTCACGCACACACAGACACAGAACTACCATTACACTACACTGTTAACTGTCTGTCACAAGCCAAGTCACAAACCAAATTCTATTATCCTTTTTGTACAAATTTGTCATTCTTGAATTCAAATCTTATTCACTGAACTCTGAACATTTCAACAAGAAAGTTCTTAAGTACATTATTCCTATCTTGCATCAGATATCCGTACAAGGGAAGTTACTTTTCTCTCCCTAAATATTAATACATAAGCACAATTGTTGTACTCGTTGATTTTCAATATATATTTTATTGTTGAATGCAATTTGATCTCTTGTTCTTCTTTCCTTGTGTTCTTTGCAAATTTAAATGTATGTGCTCGCACTAAAAACGCAGCCTCACTAACAACCTCATTAACAATTTTAAAACAAATATGAGCAGCACACCACAATGTAATCTGTTTTTTTTTTGGTTTAATGATGCTGCTGATTATAATATCAACAAACTTTTATGAAATTCCACAGATCTTGATCATTAATTTATAATTAAAATAATAAAGCAATATTACAACAGTTATAATAATTAAATGAAATAAAAGCAATGATTAATTAATCAAGATTTTGTGCAATAAAGGATATCTTTCTTGGCTGTGTCTTCTACTCCCATCAAATCATCTTTGTCAGCAAGTTCTTCATACTGTAAGAAAAAAAAATTTTTTTACAATAATGTTCACTCTTTAGAAGGCCTAAGAGCCACTTCAGATACAGGGTTACAGAGTAAGATTGTTTTTTTTATTGACTGACTGATTTATTTTCTATGGCTTATCAACCCATTGCAGGTTATTTAAAACCAGAAAATATTTTAGAACAGGTGGATACATGCCTTTCCAAAGAGTATTTGTGTGCAAGAGTATTTGTGTGAAAATGAATATAATGAACCCAACGGGAATTGGAACTTGGCTCTCCAGTTAACAATTCTAAGCCATTATCCATTACACCACTTGCACGTCCAAGTTTACAGTACTTGGTATTTTCAAGCAGTCACCCATGTGGCTACTGACCAGGTTTGATGTTGCTTAACTTTGGTTATTGTAAGGGGAAATGGTGTTTCAATATGCTGTGGCTGTAAGCCTACAGAGTAAGAGGCACAGTTTATGGGGATATGTGGGGAAGGTAATGGTTAACTCTAGGATAGTAATGATCAGGGAAGCACTCTCTTAGGAGTCAGTTCCACAAAGCAGCTGCTTGAGTGAAACTTACATCTCACCAATGGAATATAAAAGGGAATAAGGATTGTTTGTTTGTGGCATGGCAGGTCTTAACTGTGAAGGTTAGAATTGGTGGAAGTAAGGAATATAGTTCGTCTGAACACTTTTCAGGGAAATAGCGATAGAGCAGTGAGAGGTTTGCAATGTTTAATCTGTAGGAAAAGGGTTGTAGGGTGGAAAATAATTCATCACCCACAAGGATGCAAAGATACTACCGAAACTGGTAAGTGAAGACTAGCAGTTCTTGCCCATATATGGCAGCAGTACTTGATATTCAGCCTGATCTGGTTCTTGTAAAAGTAGGGGATATCAGGAGGAGCCAGACACTTACTGGAGAGGTACAGTGAACTGACCATTTTTCCAGCGCCTTTAGCAATTTAGGATCGCATTCTACTTGAGGTCTGGGTTTGAGCTTAAATCGCAACAGTCGCTCAAGCCTCAGTCTCCCTGGGAGATTACCCCTTCATCTCATTGGGTAAAAATGAAAAGAGTGGGTGTTGTAATTAAGGGTTTCTAGAGAATATTCTTTTTTTTTTAATAACACTATCCTCTAATGTAATCTGTTCTGACAGAGTACAGTAAGTGCGACGCTGTGATCCGAAGACGGATTGGGATGGATGGCCAAGGATGCATTCCAGAAGATGGACAGAGTACTGCAAAACAGGAGGATTTCTATTGTGACAAAGAAAAGAGTACTGAGCTGCTATGTGACATCTGTCCTCCTATACGGCAGCGAATGTTGGACGGTATCCTCAAAGATGAAGAAGAGACTCGAGGCGGCAGAGATGTGGTTCTACAGAAGGATGCTGAGAAGATATCATGGACCCAGTATGTGAGCAAAGATGAGGTCTTGGAGAGGATACAAACAAAGAGGAAGCTTATACTTAGCATAAGGATGAAGCAGTTGAAATTTCTGGGACATGTAATGAGAAAGGAGGGCCTGGAGAATCTGATACTCACGGGACGGATAGAGGGAAAAAGAGACAGGGGAAAGTAGCGCATGACATAGGTGGCAGGCTTGGGCAGGTGGATGGCAGAGCATGGTCTGGGGGAGTTGGCAGAAACACAAAAGCTGTTGAGAGCCACAAGGGATAGGAGGAAGTGGAGGGCCATATTCGCCTACATCCTGAAAGGACACGGCACATAAAAAGAAAAAATTCTCTACTCGAATCTGTGTGAATTGTTAATATTTAATAATACATCTTTAATTTCTTTGAAACTGTTATGCTGCCTTCTGGGAGATGACTTATTTTACCCACCATACATCACCTCTCCCACAGTCAAGGCATCACAAACATAACACCACTTACATAGCAAATGTTAAGACAAGCTTCATTCTTTAGTGCCATCAGTTTAGTGACACCTTCATAGCCATATCTGTCGTTATGTCTACAGAGTTGGATCAACCTCATTCCTTACATATTCCTTTGGCAAAAAGGGTTTTACATTCCGAAAGCTTCTTTGCAAGAGACTCCCGTGTGGATGCTTTCCAGTACACTACAATCTTAAGCTCTTCAAGCCTAGGGTTAGTACTTATCTGCCCACCATATTCTCATAACTTTACTTTCTATTTTCTACTTTTATGCTCATATCACAAACCTCATTCAGAAACCCTCTACTTTGAATGGCTCTTGGGCCTTGTATTGGGTATTTCTTTACTAAAAAAAGAAAAAAAAGAAAAAGAAATTAGTTGCCAATTTTTGTTTACACTGTTCTAGGTTGTTTCATTCTCCAGACTTTTTTAAAAAAAAAATGTATCCAGTTTTGAGTCTGTTGTTGATTTTTTTTAACGTAACTACATCATTTCAGCATTTATTTGGACCAAATATATAATTTAAATAAATTCATAGCATCATTTAGATAAATGGCCTAATGCTTCATGTTAGGTTGATGCAAATGTTTTTAGCATTTATTTGGACAAAATATTTGATTTATATAAATTCATAGCATCATTTAGATAAATTGCCTAATACTTCATATTAGGCTGATGCAAATGTTTTCAGCATTTATTTGGACAAATTTTATTCATACAAACTCGTTCAACCTGTGAAAATTCCACACTATCTTAACCTTGGCTAGCAAATGACATATCCACTAGGCCACTTTTCAACTGCTCGAATAATAAAATTATCTTGGAAATACAAATTATTTTTAATGCTGTAATTATTTGAATGAGTTACTTTTATTTACATACTTTTTTTTTTCAAATGAAATTATTGCCCTGCTGATAGGGCCTAGAATATGTTGACTGCATTCCCTCCCTGATCAAAAAAGTAGATACCTATTGAGTAAATACTTAAAAACTCAAATATAAATTACTAATATTTATCTATGCCTGAAAGGCTTATGATCATATCACGTTGGAACACTGGTTCTTATATGATCACCGAAGTTAAGCAACGGTCAGTACCTAGATGGGTGACCATTTAGGAATACCAAGTGCTGTAAGCTTGGATGGGTGTGCCGTATAATAGATAACAACTTGGAATTGGAAATTGGAGAGCAGAGTTTCAATTAATAAGCTGTAAAAACAAATCAATCTAACCCTGAACTAACTTTGCCTCCCATGCAAATAGAGTTGCCAACTCCCTAAACTTGTTGGGGCCACCCACCTTCTCATCAGAATGGACTGATCTCTCTACTACTAATAGGACAGTTCTATAGAGTTCTGGGAAGATCAGGTGACCTGATCTGTCTACCGGAAGATATAGTTGGACTTTATACTCTTTCTGATTGTTACTGACTAACCTGCGTTCGTTTGACTATTAATCTCTCTGTTGTAAATACCTCTTCAGATATACCAGTATTTTTCCCTATGTATGTGTTTGCCCTTATTTCAATACACGCACGAGGAAACACTCAACATCTCAACAAAACTAAAATGAAAATGTGGGTAGGGAGGGCAACCAGTACACATTGTGTACAGGTTCACAGATTCACAAAGCTGAATTAAATCAGCTTGATATTTTTGAGCTATTAGAGAGAGAGAGAGAGAAAGCTAAAAAAAAAAAAAAAAAAAAACAGGTGGGACCCACAGGCAAGATTTTACAATTTTCTTTTGTACCCAACTTTATTTTTAAATCCAGAATTATTTTTTTTAAACTCGAACAGGAAACTGAAGTGAGATTATGTGTATACATAGGATTGACTGGTCATTGTACTTACCTGTAATTTCATCAGCCTGCTTGTGTAGCCCTTGAAGTATGAATAATAAATTTTACTCATTGTATCCACATACTCATCTCGAATTTCTTTTGCTACCTGTCGTTCATGGCTCATAAGGAACTCATTAAAAAATCTGAAACAAAAAAAAATCAATAATATATATATTTGAATATTAGTGGATTATCTAATTGTGTTATTTATTGGTGCCACTAACATATTTTCATGTTGCTTTGTAGCATCAAGTGGTTTTGCTATTGTTTTCTAGCACCAAGATGCTCACACTGTTGCTACCTGGCCACAAAAAAATTCTGCCATTCCTTCCTGGCACCAAGAGACTTGCACTGTTGCTTCTTGGTACAAAGAGCTATTCTCTGTTGTTCCCTGGCATCAAGAGGTTATGAGATTGCTTCCTGCTATCAAGTGCTGTTGTTTTCTGGCACCAATTGAAATGCAAAGTTGGTCTTGGCCTTCCCGCTAACTTGGAGCATGTGCATGTAAATTTTGGTGCAAATCCATCGAAAATTGCAGCCATGCATTCATTATACACACACACACACATCCTGCCTTTTATGGATAGAGATTACTAATTTTTTTAATTAATAACTATTTGTGCTCAGTTGTTGACATTAATAGCTATCTGCTGATGTGTTAAAATTTTGAAATAATGCAATAATAAAAATTTAAATTTCATCTCTTGGATGTTTTGAGTTGTTAAAAAAATAAAGCCCCCCCCCACATCCCCCCCATACACACATTTTCTCCTTACCTGAATTTTAGCATTGTATTCTGTGGAACTTGGTAATTGGTCATTGGCTTTCTGAAGGAATAAATCTTTTGCAAAAGGAATTCACGGATTTTACTTAATGCCTGGAATAAAAAAAAACAAAACAAATAAAACAACATTTAGGGAAGCAGGAATCCAAATTTAACACTTAAAAAAACTAAACATGTAAATCTACTGAAGGGTTAGAGTTAATTTCATCGATTTAATAGTTAAATTCTAATACATTTAACAGTTACATAAATATTTAGATTTAATACATAAATTAATTTCAGTTAATTTAATTAGAGGGGCTTATTTTCCGTGAGGATGGAAAAACAGAATAGCCTACTTGAAATGGAAATTGCGATTTTGAAATGGAATTTTTTTCTAACAATCAGATTTGCCCACTGCTATTTTAATTTGTTACTATGTCTGCCTTTCCTAACTCACTCATCCATAAAATCGGTAAATACATCCCCCTTACCTGCTGTCTTCTTACAGTTTACAGTTTTACAAGAAAGTGCAACAATTTCAAACTAGCAGATCATTTAAGATCAGCGATAAAGTTTTCTTTAAAAGATTTAAGGCCAGAAAGGAAAATTGGCAGGAAGGAAAAATTATTCATTGCCTTGGTAGTATGATGTACATTGTCAAAGGTGGGTGATTTCATCATAAGAGACATATAAATCAATTGAGGTCTAGATATGCACAGAATAAGCAACCAATACAATTTAATGTACTTATGGACATACTTTATGATACTTTTGAAGTACCTATTCCTAAAACTGAAATTATAATACAACATCAGATTAAGTGAAAACATAAGCCAACTGAAACGTTGGAAGTGGACCCTTGTCAGGAAAAGTATTGATTAAGGAAAATTCATATCTAGGGGGTGTTGTGGAGATGAACACACCTCTCCAGAAGAGAACTTGGAATTGTCCAAATGCATATAAACTGATGCCAAGAATTGTCAGCAGAAAGAGAGAAAAAGTAGAGAGAGATCTAGCGTATCTGCTTACTACCTATTTCAGCAAGACTACATTGACTCCAAGCAACATTTTATTTCTTGATTGTGTTATCTTCATTCAATGCAATGAACACATAACAGTCCTCAACAGATCGTTAGGTCAAGAAACAAGATTGAACCCCTCACTACAAACAACTGCCTTTATCCTAAGATGACCCCCCTCCCCTTCCAATCCCTTTCTGTGTCACACTCTCTTTGTCTTTTTACATCCCTCTCTGTTTCACTCTCTATTACTCTTTCAGTATCTGTGATACACACTATACATAGGTAACAAGTGTATTAATATATATATTTTAATAATTAACCCATTCCATAAATATTGACTCTCAATGTTTAACCTGATGTAATCTGCTCTGTTTATGCTCTGCCATAATATATGACTACATCATTGCAAATAACGCAGTAAGTCATGCAAACAGTGTGACTTTGAGAGCCAATATTTATGAAGCAGGTTTCAACTCATGACCATTTCCAGAGAGTTATAAGGAAAGTGACATAGTCTCTCTTAAAAATACTGAAATTTCCTCAACAGAACGCTAGGTCAAGAAACAAGATTAAACCCCTAACTACAAACAACTGCCTTTATTTAATCTCTTTTTGTTTCTCTATTTCTGTTTTAGTTTATATGGATATGACATTGAAATTTTAGTAGAGAATATGGAACAACTTTTCAAATGAAATTTACAAAGGGATGACTGGTCATTATTATAGGGTCATATACTGAAGGATGTAATTTATTCATAGTTTTTAGTTTCAGTTATATGGGGTTGTATTATACACAAGAAAATGCAGTAATAGTAACTATGCAGAAAAGTAGCATAATAATACTAGTAACATAGACACTATATTTTATTTGTTTACTATTAATACTACTAATAATAATAACCAACAGGACCTGTGTAAATTACATGGAATTACTAATAAATGTTTTAATGCTTCACTCGGTACTTATTAAAAATGAAAATATTTTATTCATAAATTAGTAAATATTTACTAAAATATAAAAATATCTGAACTAACTTATTAATCCTTATTATTTATCAGTTTATAAAAGTTTGAATTGATTGGCAATTAGCTGATGTTTTGTCATTCATTGCAATAAACTATCTAATAGCATAAATAATCTAATGATTAAATAGTGATTAATATTTTTGTTGCAAGTTCTCAAGAACAAAGAAAATGTATAAATTCACTTTCATCATATGTCTAGGTTTTATTACAATTCTAATCATCAGTTTTTTTGCCAAGGAATGAGAGTAGTTAGATTATAGCAGTGTCGATAGAAAAAAATATTCTTTTGACACACCATTTTTTTGCAGGTATGAAGGTCTAAGATTGCCAAATCTTCATTTTCATGTTTAAAACTCACCTTGCTTTTCAGCTTCTCCAGTATATCACGGACATCCTGGCAAGAGCGTGCCTCTTTGAACGACTGCTCCTTCACAAAGTTGATCTTGTGATTCAGCTCATGTAGTTGTTCCATAAATTCACGCTCAGTTACTGGGGTATCGACAATATGTCTACACAGAAAGTGAGAAAAAAAAAAACATGTAAATAACATTCACAAATAGTAAGCAGAAACCCTGAAAATTTCATAGAGAAGTTTTGCAATAGATCAATATAGAAGACAAATTATTTCATATATCTATACATACATAAATGGTGTGTGTGTGTGTCTGGCTAAAACTAAAAAAATTATAACAAAATAAATATATATATATATATACAGACTCAGTATTACCCAATCCACCTTTTTGCCAAAAAATTATCATCATATGATTTGTATTTGTGAAGGTATTTTAAAATTAAAATACGTAATAATTGAATTAGAATGCATTTTTAGCCATGTAAGCATTTCAAAATTCTCAGAATTAAAAAGTAAAAATGAATGGGAATCATTATTATTTCTGTTCGTTTTTACTTTTTAATTCTGCTGAGAATTTTGAAACACTATATGCATTTTTAAAATTTCTATTCTTTTGAATTTATTTCCATATCTATAGTAAAAAAAAGTATCACTTTAAAAAAATGAATTTAAAAGAAGAAGAATATTAAATACAGTTATTTGAAAAGAATTTTAATATTTATTTATTCAAATATTTGAAACAAAAATTGTAAAAACACAACAGAATAAATTACTGTAGATATTTTTTGGGGGGGGAATTTTCATTAGCTTTAATACAATTTACAATTTAACTTAGGATATACATACACAAGGTAGCTTGATGGCAGGAAGTTATATAAGTGTCTGAGCTACAAGAGGAGAAGGCAGAATCCCTTGAATTTTCACAAGATAGAACATTGAAAGAAAGACCTGAAAACACATGCCCTTGGTTGGCTGACAGAGTCAAGAAGTGAATGAACAACTTAAAAAATTGGCACTACTTAAATATTAGGTTGGTGCAAAAATAATGACGTAATAATATTGTTTTTTGACGTATTTTTTAATGTCAAAAAACGACATTATTACATCATTATTTTTGCACCAACCTAATAGATTGGTTCACTTGTAAAAAAAAAAAAAAAAAAAAATATGGAGACATTTTTTGGAATAATTTTTGTACTTTAGCATATTTTGATATTCTCCAAGCTGTGAAATTTGTCAGAATTATATAATTCTTTGCTGGTATCTTTCTGTGAAGTTTCAATAAGGCATTTTTTACTATTCTGTTATATAGGTAATTTTTACTAGTAATTTTATAGACATACATATCAAGCAGACTGATGAAAAAATTGTAGTAAAAGAGGTGAAAAAGCAAAACTCACGATATCATGGATTCTGGAATGACCATTTCATCTACAAACTGGCTTAGCTCTCCGCGAACAGCCTGAAATAAAAAAAAAACAATCAATGAATATAAAAGGTGGAAACTGATGAAAATACACACAGAAGTCAGCTGATATGAATGCATAAAAGTATTAAATAAAACAAACACTGTAAGTTTTTAAATTAAAAAAAGAAATAGCTAAGAATTTATTTTACATAATAAAAAATCTAATATAACTGATGATATTAAGATTTATAAAATAAATCCATCCAAATTTTCATTCCTTCTAATGATTCCATATCTAGTGATATAGCAAATACTAAAAGCATCTATAGAAATTCATTGCAAATGATTTTACTATAGGAATGCATTAGAAATGATTTGAATACTAGCTCTTTATGGAACCTGGAATATTATGGCTAGGATTTATGAAAGAAATCCATCCAAACTTTCATTCCCTCTTATGATTTCATATCTAGTGATAAAGCAAATACTAAAAGCATCTATAGAAATTCATTGCAAATGATTTTACTATAGGAATGCATTAGAAATGATTTGAATACTAGCTCTTTATGGAACCTGGAATGTTATGGCTAGGATTTATTAAACAAATCCATCCAAACTTTCATTCCCTCTAATGATTTCATATCTAGTGATAAAGCAAATACTAAAAGCATCTATAGAAATTCATTGCAAATGATTTTACTATAGGAATGCATTAGAAATGATTTGAATACTAGCTCTTTATGGAACCTGGAATGTTATTGCTAGGATTTATTAAACAAATCCATCCAAACTTTCATTCCCTCTAATGATTTCATATCTAGTGATAAAGCAAATACTAAAAGCATCTATAGAAATTCATTGCAAATGATTTTACTATAGGAATGCATTAGAAATGATTTGAATACTAGCTCTTTATGGAACCTGGAATATTATGGCTAGGATTTATGAAAGAAATCCATCCAAACTTTCATTCCCTCTTATGATTTCATATCTAGTGATAAAGCAAATACTAAAAGCATCTATAGAAATTCATTGCAAATGATTTTACTATAGGAATGCATTAGAAATGATTTGAATACAAGCTCTTTATGGAACCTGGAATGTTATGGCTAGGATTTATTAAACAAATCCATCCAAACTTTCATTCCTTCTAATGATTTCATATCTAGTGATAAAGCAAATACTAAAAGCATCTATAGAAATTCATTGCAAATGATTTTACTATAGGAATGCATTAGAAATGATTTGAATACTAGCTCTTTATGGAACCTGGAATATTATGGCTAGGATTTATGAAAGAAATCCATCCAAACTTTCATTCCCTCTTATGATTTCATATCTAGTGATAAAGCAAATACTAAAAGCATCTATAGAAATTCATTGCAAATGATTTTTACTATAGGAATGCATTAGAAATGATTTGAATACTAGCTCTTTATGGAACCTGGAATATTATGGCTAGGATTTATGAAAGAAATCCATCCAAACTTTCATTCCTCTTATGATTTCATATCTAGTGATAAAGCAAATACTAAAAGCATCTATAGAAATTCATTGCAAATGATTTTACTATAGGAATGCATTAGAAATGATTTGAATACTAGCTCTTTATGGAACCTGGAATATTATGGCTAGGATTTATGAAAGAAATCCATCAAACTTTCATTCCTCTTATGATTTCATATCTAGTGATAAAGCAAATACTAAAAGCATCTATAGAAATTCATTGCAAATGATTTTACTATAGGAATGCATTAGAAATGATTTGAATACAAGCTCTTTATGGAACCTGGAATGTTATGGCTAGGATTTATTAAACAAATCCATCCAAACTTTCATTCCCTCTAATGATTTCATATCTAGTGATAAAGCAAATACTAAAAGCATCTATAGAAATTCATTGCAAATGATTTTACTATAGGAATGCATTAGAAATGATTTGAATACTAGCTCTTTATGGAACCTGGAATATTATGGCTAGGATTTATGAAACAAATCCATCCAAACTTTCATTCCCTCTAATGATTCCATATCTAGTGATATAGCAAATACTAAAAGCATCTATAGAAATTCATTGCAAATGATTTTACTATAGGAATGCATTAGAAATGATTTGAATACTAGCTCTTTATGGAACCTGGAATATTATGGCTAGGATTTATGAAAGAAATCCATCCAAACTTTCATTCCCTCTTATGATTTCATATCTAGTGATAAAGCAAATACTAAAAGCATCTATAGAAATTCATTGCAAATGATTTTACTATAGGAATGCATTAGAAATGATTTGAATACTAGCTCTTTATGGAACCTGGAATATTATATTTAGGATTTATGAAAGAAATCCATCCAAAAAAATTTTCATTCCCTCTTATGATTTCATATCTAGTGATAAAACAAATACTAAAAGCATCTATAGAAATTCATTGCAAATGATTTTTACTATAGGAATGCATTAGAAATGATTTGAATACAAGCTCTTTATGGAACCTGGAATGTTATGGCTAGGATTTATTAAACAAATCCATCCAAACTTTCATTCCCTCTAATGATTTCATATCTAGTGATAAAGCAAATACTAAAAAGCATCTATAGAAATTCATTGCAAATGATTTTACTATAGGAATGCATTAGAAATGATTTGAATACAAGCTCTTTATGGAACCTGGAATATTATGGCTAGGATTTATGAAAGAAATCCATCCAAACTTTCATTCCCTCTAATGATTTCATATCTAGTGATAAAGCAAATACTAAAAGCATCTATAGAAATTCATTGCAAATGATTTTACTATAGGAATGGATTAGAAATGATTTGAATACTAGCTCTTTATGGAACCTGGAATATTCCAAAGGATTTATGAAAGAAATCCATCCAAACTTTCATTCCCTCTTATGATTTCATATCTAGTGATAAAGCAAATACTAAAAGCATCTTTAGAAATTCATTGCAAATGATTTTACTATAGGAATGCATTAGAAATGATTTGAATACAAGCTCTTTATGGAACCTGGAATGTTATGGCTAGGATTTATTAAACAAATCCATCCAAACTTTCATTCCCTCTAATGATTTCATATCTAGTGATAAAGCAAATACTAAAAGCATCTATAGAAATTCATTGCAAATGATTTTACTATAGGAATGCATTAGAAATGATTTGAATACAAGCTCTTTATGGAACCTGGAATGTTATGGCTAGGATTTATTAAACAAATCCATCCAAACTTTCATTCCTCTAATGATTTCATATCTAGTGATAAAGCAAATACTAAAAGCATCTATAGAAATTCATTGCAAATGATTTTTACTATAGGAATGCATTAGAAATGATTTGAATACTAGCTCTTTATGGAACCTGGAATATTATGGCTAGGATTTATGAAAGAAATCCATCCAAACTTTCATTCCCTCTTATGATTTCATATCTAGTGATAAAAGCAAATACTAAAAGCATCTATAGAAATTCATTGCAAATGATTTTTACTATAGGAATGCATTAGAAATGATTTGAATACTAGCTCTTTATGGAACCTGGAATATTATGGCTAGGATTTATGAAAGAAATCCATCCAAACTTTCATTCCCTCTTATGATTTCATATCTAGTGATAAAGCAAATACTAAAAGCATCTATAGAAATTCATTGCAAATGATTTTACTATAGGAATGCATTAGAAATGATTTGAATACTAGCTCTTTATGGAACCTGGAATATTATGGCTAGGATTTATGAAAGAAATCCATTCAAACTTTCATTCCTCTTATGATTTCATATCTAGTGATAAAGCAAATACTAAAAGCATCTATAGAAATTCATTGCAAATGATTTTACTATAGGAATGCATTAGAAATGATTTGAATACAAGCTCTTTATGGAACCTGGAATGTTATGGCTAGGATTTATTAAACAAATCCATCCAAACTTTCATTCCTCTAATGATTTCATATCTAGTGATAAAAGCAAATACTAAAAGCATCTATAGAAATTCATTGCAAATGATTTTTACTATAGGAATGCATTAGAAATGATTTGAATACTAGCTCTTTATGGAACCTGGAATATTATGGCTAGGATTTATGAAAGAAATCCATCCAAACTTTCATTCCCTCTTATGATTTCATATCTAGTGATAAAGCAAATACTAAAAGCATCTATAGAAATTCATTGCAAATGATTTTACTATAGGAATGCATTAGAAATGATTTGAATACTAGCTCTTTATGGAACCTGAATATTATGGCTAGGATTTATGAAACAAATCCATCCAAACTTTCATTCCCTCTTATGATTTCATATCTAGTGATATAAAGCAAATACTAAAAGCATCTATAGAAATTCATTGCAAATGATTTTACTATAGGAATGCATTAGAAATGATTTGAATACAAGCTCTTTATGGAACCTGGAATGTTATGGCTAGGATTTATTAAACAAATCCATCCAAACTTTCATTCCCTCTAATGATTTCATATCTAGTGATAAAGCAAATACTAAAAGCATCTATAGAAATTCATTGCAAATGATTTTACTATAGGAATGTATTAGAAATGATTTGAATACTAGCTCTTTATGGAACCTGGAATGTTATGGCTAGGATTTATGAAAGAAATCCATCCAAACTTTCATTCCCTCTTATGATTCATATATCTAGTGATAAAGCAAATACTAAAAGCATCTATAGAAATTCATTGCAAATGATTTTACTATAGAATGCATTAGAAAATTTGAATACAAGCTCTTTATGGAACCTGAAAAGATTTATTAAACAAATCCATCCAAACTTTCAGAATGATTTCATATCTAGTGATAAAGCAAATACAAAAAAAAATAGAAATTTTGCAAATGATTTTACTATAGGAATGCATTAGAAATGATTTGAATACTAGCTCTTTATGGAACCTGGAATATTATGGCTAGGATTTATGAAACAAATCCATCCAAACTTTCATTCCCTCTAATGATTCCATATCTAGTGATATAGCAAATACTAAAAGCATCTATAAAAATTCATTGCAAATGATTTTACTATAGGAATGCATTAGAAATGATTTGAATACTAGCTCTTTATGGAACCTGGAATGTTATGGCTAGGATTTATTAAACAAATCCATCCAAACTTTCATTCCCTCTAATGATTTCATATCTAGTGATAAAGCAAATACTAAAAGCATCTATAGAAATTCATTGCAAATGATTTTACTATAGGAATGCATTAGAAATTATTTGAATACTAGCTCTTTATGGAACCTGGAATATTATGGCTAGGATTTATGAAACAAATCCATCCAAACTTTTATTCCCTCTAATGATTTCATATCTAGTGATATAGCAAATACTAAAAGCATATATAGAAATTCATTGCAAATGATTTTACTATAGGAATGCATTAGAAATGATTTGAATACTAGCTCTTTATGGAACCTGGAATATTATGGCTAGGATTTATGAAACAAATCCATCCAAACTTTCATTCCTCTAATGATTTCATATCTAGTGATATAGCAAATACTAAAAGCATATATAGAAATTCATTGCAAATGATTTTACTATAGGAATGCATTAGAAATGATTTGAATACTAGCTCTTTATGGAACCTGGAATATTATGGCTAGGATTTATGAAACAAATCCATCCAAACTTTCATTCCCTCTAATGATTTCATATCTAGTGATAAAGCAAATACTAAAAGCATCTATAGAAATTCATTGCAAATGATTTTACTATAGGAATGCATTAGAAATGATTTGAATACTAGCTCTTTATGGAAGCTGGAATATTATGGCTAGGATTTATTAAACAAATCCATCCAAACTTTTATTCCCTCTAATGATTTCATATCTAGTGATATAGCAAATACTAAAAGCATATATAGAAATTCATTGCAAATGATTTTACTATAGGAATGCATTAGAAATGATTTGAATACTAGCTCTTTATGGAACCTGGAATATTATGGCTAGGATTTATGAAACAAATCCATCCAAACTTTCATTCCCTCTAATGATTCCATATCTAGTGATATAGCAAATACTAAAAGCATCTATAGAAATTCATTGCAAATGATTTTACTATAGGAATGCATTAGAAATGATTTGAATACTAGCTCTTTATGGAAGCTGGAATATTATGGCTAGGATTTATGAAACAAATCCATCCAAACTTTTATTCCCTCTAATGATTTCATATCTAGTGATATAGCAAATACTAAAAGCATATATAGAAATTCATTGCAAATGATTTTACTATAGGAATGCATTAGAAATGATTTGAATACTAGCTCTTTATGGAAGCTGGAATATTATGGCTAGGATTTATGAAACAAATCCATCCAAACTTTCATTCCCTCTAATGATTCCATATCTAGTGATATAGCAAATACTAAAAGCATCTATAGAAATTCATTGCAAATGATTTTACTATAGGAATGCATTAGAAATGATTTGAATACTAGCTCTTTATGGAACCTGGAATATTATGGCTAGGATTTATGAAACAAATCCATCCAAACTTTTATTCCCTCTAATGATTTCATATCTAGTGATAAAGCAAATACTAAAAGCATCTATAGAAATTCATTGCAAATGATTTTACTATAGGAATGCATTAGAAATGATTTGAATACTAGCTCTTTATGGAACCTGGAATGTTATGGCTAGGATTTATGAAACAAATCCATCCAAACTTTCATTCCCTCTAATGATTCCATATCTAGTGATATAGCAAATACTAAAAGCATCTATAGAAATTCATTGGAAATGATTTTACTATAGGAATGCATTAGAAATTATTTTAATAATTCTATATAGAGTGAAGTGATGTGGAAATTTTTTATATGAAAGACACATTTCACCAGAGAAAGCTTATGCTCTCTTTGGCATTGCCAGTTTGACTAAAAAAAGACAAAACTCTATTTCTCTTCAGGAAAGAATGACAAAAAGAAAAAAGAAGAAAAAGTTTCAACACAAAATAAAAGTTTATCTATTCACAATTAAAAATCAGAAAAGTATTAATTTTCAACTAGCATTTCTTTAGTATCTGTCTATATTTCTGAGATGAGGTATTATGTACACTACTTACATTGTTCGAACTATTGTCCTCATCTTTGTCGCCATATTTATCCGATCCTTCAGTATCTGTCTATATTTCTGAGATGAGGTATTATGTACACTATTTACATTGTTTAGACTATTGTCCTCATCTTTGTTGTCATATTTATCATAACATTTCAGCCATTGTATGCTCTGGTCTTCTTCAGGTGGTTGGAATACACAGATGTCATCAAGGTCGCATGGCACAGTAGATCTTTGGATCTCTGAGGATCTTTGATATAAAAATTTTCCACTTTGTCCCATCATCTTCACTTTTGTTTCAGTTACGATTATACAACTTACTAGCACACATAGAAAATACTAAAAGCACACATAAAACTGAAAATGATTTTACTCTAGGAATATATTGGGAATAATTTTAATACTAGCTGTTTATATAAACCTTGATATACATACTAGATTGGATTTTCATATAAATATGTCAAACCTTTAATTCACTCTTATAATTACAGATATATATATATATATTTTAATCATTTCACCCCAAGCAAGGCAGCAATGCCATTAGGACACAGAGGAATGAAAGAGAAAGAGAAGACTGAGAATAGGGAGGAATGAGGAAGAGGCAAAAAAATATCAACAGGGTTCAAGAAGACAGCGATTGACATTGCATTTAAATTTCTTAAGATTGTAGTTATCAGGGAATTTTTAGAATGATGTGGAAATGATTTCATTATGAAAATGATGTAGAAATGATTTCATTATGAAAATGCATTTGAAATGATTTTACTCTAGAAATGTGAGGGAAATTATCCCTTTGTGAAAATGACAATTAGTTTTCTACTTGGTAAATACAAAATGAGTGATTATTTAAAAAGAAATGCCTTTCATACCTTTCTCAAGGGCATTTGTGCATAAGTGAATATAATGAACGCAAGTGGAATTGGAACTTAGCTCTCTGATTACCAATTCTGAGCCATTATCCATCACACCACCTGCACATCCAAGGTTATGGCACATGGTATTCCTAAATGGCCATCTATCTAGGTACTGACCAGGCATGACATTGCTTAACTTTGGTGATAGTATGAGAACTGGTGTTTCATTGTGATAAGGCCATAAGCCACTGAAGCCAACAAGCTCCTGAACCATAACATACCTGTCTGTTTTTCAGCTTTATATTCATAGCGATAGATTCTTCTTGGAGTGTTTGAATCTCATTGCTGATGCTGCTCAGATCTGTTTGAAACCCATTCAACATTTGTTCCATTCTCTTCAGGAAAGAATGACAAAAAGAAAAAAGAAGAAAAAGTTACAACACAAAATAAAAGTTTATCTATTCACAATTAAAAATCAGAAAAGTATTATTAATTTTCAACTAGCATTTCTTTAGTATCTGTCTATATTTCTGAGATGAGGTATTATGTACACTATTTACATTGTTCAGACTATTGTCCTCATCTTTGTTGCCATATTTATCATAACATTTCGGCCATTGTACGCTCTGGCCTTCTTCAGGTGGTTGGAATACACAGATGTCATCAAGGTTGCATGGCACAGTAGATAAAAAATAATAATTGTAGTTGAGAGTTGATGTTTCATTTGGCTGTAGAATAGAGAAAGAATAAAAGGTCAAACAAGGGATGAGGTTACTTCTTCAGCCAAATCAGGAACAGGTTTCTGACCCATTCAAATTAATTGAAAAGGGGAATATTTTAATACTCTCCCCCCAACCTTCTGAAATGACTGACTCCAGATGTTGACTGATCACTATATACATTTTCCTGAATCTTGATGCGTAATTCAATGACTAGATTATGTGCTTTACCTTCATTTGACTGTGTGTAACTGAAGTTTCCATTTGTTTCTACAACAATGACATTGTGGTCAAGCCATGTTGCTTAATATATTATTTTTTCAATTTCATTCTTGTCACCATTATTATGCTGGAGGTCTTTATTTTATCAAGTGGCCATTTTAGTATTTGGGAGTAGCAGTGGTAATGATATATTGCTCCTTTATTACAAGGGTGTTATTTTCTTTTTATAGAGAAAGTCAACAAGGGAGATAATTTTCGATTTTACAATTTCTGTACATTTCTGCCACTGCTCCATTTGTATAGATGTTAGCATCTACAGTGTAAATATATGTTGAGGAGATAGATTAGAATGCATGGGAACATTTTGGTTTTAAGGTGATTTCAAGAGAATGCAAGTAAGGGACGAGTCAGTCGGTGTCGTTAAAGGAACTAGCATAAAATAACCCTCCTTTTCATCCTCAGAGCATGTTCTCATCCTAACACTCTTTTTCACTCTCAGGCCATGTTCTCATCATAAGCCTCTTTTTCACCCTCACGCCATGTTCTCATCCTAACCCTCTTTTTCACCCTCGGAACATGTTCCCATCATAACCCTCTTTTTCACCCTCGGGACATGTTCTTATCATAACCCTCTTTTTCACCCTCATGCCATGTTCTCATCATAACCCTCTTTTTCACCCTCGGGACATGTTCTCATCATAACCCTCTTTTTCACCCTCGGAACATGTTCCCATCATAACCCTCTTTTTCACCCTCGGGACATGTTCTCATCATAACCCTCTTTTTCACCCTCGGGACATGTTCTTATCATATACTTCTTTTTCACCCTCACGCCATGTTCTCATCATAAACCTCTTTTTTTCACACTCAGGCCACATTCTCAATATAACTCTTTTTAACCTAGGGCCACATTCTTATCCTAACCCTCTTTTTCACCTTCAGGTCATATTCTCTTCATAGTCCTCTTTTTCATCTTTCGGTCGCCATATAATTTCTGCATAACCCACTTTTTCATCCTTGGGTCTTGTTTTCATTGTTGCATTTCAGTTTTTGAGAATAATTCTCCCTGTGTCAAAAAGAAAGAAAGAAAGAAAGAAAGAAAGTAGTAATAGGACAATAAATATTTGCCTCATTTTGTTCGGATAAGAATAACCTTACCTCAAGAATGGTATCACATGCTGCTATCTGTTTGTGAAGACTGGCAATATTCTGGCTTTCCTTAATATCTGATTGTTGGGTTAAAGAACTGAAAATTGTTCCATTCACAACTTCTCATAAATGTCTTAAAAATTATATAAGAAAAAAAATCTTTCAGACACGCCCCCTTGATCATTTTGGGTCCTTTGACATTGTGTAATGGCTAGTAAACTTGTCTTGCTAGATCAATTATGACTGAGTAGTGAGTTTCAGTCTCACTCAGTGCTCCACATTTTTGGCCTTGTGCCACATCTAAGCTACACTTAGAAAATTGTTTTTTTGTTTCTGGCTTTTGGCTGGTATCGTTTCAAATAATATTACACCCAAGCCCTAGGTGGCCTATTCTTCAGGCAGTACCTCTTGTTCGGGAGAGGACTGGGTTTATAGCCCGGTGCCTGAGTGTCCCCAAAGGGGTAAGTGCCAAGGGGGTCTTGGCAATTGTTTCCATGGTATTGCAATTAAACTTTGACCTTGTGTCACATTTAGTAGCGATGTGGGCTCACTGAAAAATAAACGTTTTTGAGTCGAGATCAAAGTGTAGTATCTTTGGGCAGATAAACTACATTTTATCTCTCAATTCTGTCTCTGTTTTTGAACAGAAAACAGCAATTAAATGAGGGATATTTGGTCCTGGGGATTCCAACTCTGTGGCAGCACCTCCCTCATTGAACCAAAGAAGGAGGGTTGATGGAATATCTACATTGGCTGTGGGGATCAGACGATTTTTGGCCATAGACCAAGTGCATGCGCTTGGACTCTCCACTTTAAACTGGCCTTGTGCCATATCCTGTCATCATGGGGGGGGGAGGAGTAAATAACAAGTGTAGTACCTGTTCCTCTTAAAATTATAAAAGATGCCTAGTTTAGCTTCGGGGATTACAACTCTGGGATAGCACTTTCAGCAATCTTGCACTTTGTTTTCAAATGCTTCGTTGGCGTCTACACCAGTTGCATGACCAAAAAAAGCCATCTACAACATTCAAACCACAACATTTTTGAAAATTCATTTCAGTGTTACAATGTTTGTGTTGTGTCGGAAACCTACCACCCCTCTTGAAGATGAACTTGTCTGCGTCTGTGAACAAAGACTTTAAATAGTGGCATGTCAGTTGACATGACGGAAGAAAGATAGACCGAGAAGTTCTTAGCTGAGCTAGTTATTGACTACTCAGGCGATTTCTGTACCTATTTACCAACCTATTAAAACCCTTTTTATTGTTACATCTTATTTGGCGTTTGCCTCTACTAACCCCAAATCAACATCATAACAGTATGGATTAGTTTTCAACAATTTATATGATGCTAACCATTTTATTATTGAAAAATTATTCTGTGAAGAGACTCCCAGGAGGATATTTCGCCAATGAATGCAATCTTATCCTGTTCAAGTCTAGAGTTAACCATTATCTTCCTCTGCTATCCATATAAACTACTCCTTAATATAACACTCTACCATGAGTGGCTCCCGGGCTTTGTACATGGTCAACTTTACTGTATAAGAAAAAAAAAAAATTCAACTTTTGTAGGAGGTTTGTAAATAGTTCAGGCTGAGATGAAAGTAGTGGCGAAATTGTGACGAGTTTTGTGACAACGTTCTCCGATTGTGTACCAACATTGCGCTAAAGAGGGTGAGTTGGTGGATACTAATGGTGGTATAACAGTGTTTGTGGGGACTGGAGAATTTTTGTCATTGACCTGTATGTACAGTACCCCTGCATTAAAAAAATAACCTTTTATTTCCACCCTTCAACCTCCCTTTCACAAGAAAGATGTGGCGAGTCTCTCACTGCTTTATCGCTATTTCCATGGAAAGTTGTTGGATTAACTACATTCCTTGGTTCCACCAGGTCTAAACTTCATGGCAAGAACCCGCCATACCACTCACGGAGTAGCAAACCACCCACATTCTCTCCATCAGTGAGATCTAAGTTCCATTCAAACAGCTTCTTCCTTGCAAACCACTGCTCACTGGAACAGACTCCCAGGAGGATATTTCCCCAATCAATGCAATCTTAACCTATTCAAGTCTAGAGTTAACCATTATCTTCCCCTCCTATCCATATAAACTACTCCTTAACATAACACTCTACCATGAGTGGCTCCCAGGCTTTGTACATGGTCAACTTTACTGTATGAGAAAAAAAAAATATTCTACTTTTGTAGGAGGTTTGTAAATAGTTCAGGCTGAGATGAAAGCAGTACCCATGATGAAGTTTTAGAGAAACAAAAAGGAAACTTATATTTAATATCAGAAAGAGGTAGCTGAAATTTCTAGGGCACATAATAAGGAAAGAGGGCTTGGAAAATTTGACACTCATAGGCCATACTGAAGGCAAGAGTAACAGTGCATAATCTAACAAGATTGTGTAAATGGATAGTAGAACAGGGTTTAGGTGAGATAGCAAAAAGACAAAATTTACTAAGAGCTACAAGGAAATTGTGGAGAGCCATGATCGCCAATATCCTAAAGTGACAGCATATAGAAAAAGAAGAAAGAGCATATAGCAGAACAGGGTTTAGGGGAGATAGAAAAAAGACAAAATTTAGAAAATTAAGCACTACAAAGGACAGGAAATTGTGGAGAGCCATGATCGCCAACATCCTGAAGTGACATAGCACACAGAAGATGTTGGAGATTACTGCACAATGAAAGGATACAGTCTTGTATTGAGGCATTTTCAACTTCAAGTAACTCTTTTTCAATCTGTTTAGAATATTGTCGTAAGTCAACTCCCTGTAAAATAGAGAAGAAATCACATTCATTATAAAATACAAATATATAAATAAAATATTATCTTCATTTTTATTATTTAAAACATTAGTATAATGGATGCTCGTATTTGAAACAGATGCCCCATTTTAATTTTAAACAGTGTTGGTTTGATCCCTGTGAGAAAACACAATGTTCCCTTTATTAAGATTTCTCAAAACTGTAGGTCAATAGACGTAACAGACACTATTTAAAATAAAAATGGGGTGTCTATTTTAAATATGAGTATCCATTGTAATAATATTTGAAGTAAGAAAATGTTGGATTAAAAATAAATCCTTTAATTCTTTAGAAATTACCTTAATTTCATTGCAAAAAAGTTATAAGACAATCACTATTAACAATAGAACAGAAAGCAAGTTTATATATCAAATATGGAATCACTTCTGTTATGCAGGTTTATGTGAATGAGTTGCTTAAATTAATACTGTTACCATTTCTTTACTGTTTAATAATTCAATATATTAAAAGAGAAATTGAATCTCAATTTGAAAACATGATATTTGGGAAGGTAAAGTGCTTTATGGTTAGTTCAAGAATTTTTCAGCACCTTCTTTTGTTTGTTTGTTTGTTTGTGTGTATGCGCATATATATATATATATATATATATATATTAGTGGATATGCATAATGTTCAACATCAATAAACTGCATGAAACTCTGAGTTGTGCTATCGATGTTGGATATTATGTATATTAACTAATATATACTTATAGCTCTGTTTCTTAACATTGAGCACTGTATTTATAACACCTGAGCAAGAAATATATTTATATGTATGTGCAAGTATTTGTGCGTGTTGTAGATGTTTTATCCAATCCATTCTTATATATATATATATATATACACACACACACTATCTGAATTGAAAAATCCCAACTTAGTAATGTGTTGGTAAAAATAGCTATACTTATGAGGTAATTTTGAATTTCTCTATTGTATAACATATGCTTTGTTATAATAAATGCATTCAGCTCTTTTTGTGGATCAGTTTTAATATTTTATATTATTAGGATTCCCTTTGATTATATACCAATGGATTACTACCTGTAATATATATATATATATATATATATATATATATATATATATATATATATATATATATGAATTGAGGCAAAAGTCACGCACCATAGGGGCTGATGAATTAAACATCTTTTAAATGTTTAATTTGTTTTGATATTTTCTTATTTCACAGAAACAACAGGCCACCAGACCTCACCCCGTTGGATCTTTTTCTGTGGGGCCATTTCAAATCAGTTGTTTATCAGATCTATCCCAGTATTTTTGAGGAACTTAAAGAAAGAATTAAATATGAATGCAGTCAAATGACAGAAGAAACTCTGACGTGTTAATGAATCATGCAGCCATAGAATTGAAATGGGTTTTAAAAACGGAGGAGGACATTTTGAACAGCACATACAACAATTAAATAACTAGCAAATAAAATTTTCATGTGTAATTGTACTTTTAATAAATCATCCCTATGGTGTGTGACTTTTGCCTCACCCTGTGTATATAGGGTGTATCAAAAATACTTTTACAAAAATTGGGGGTGGTTTCCGGACACAAAAACAAGGTAAAATGTCCAAAAGGCCATCATTATACCTCACACAGCAACTCATAACAAAGGTTCAACATGGCCTTTACTTGATTCTACATACACATGCATGGGTCAGATCATTGACTGGTGGATCTTTTCAAATACTTCCACATGGTGTTGAATGGTTTTGCAGGTCAACATGATACGTTGATGTAGCATCTCTGAATTATTAATGTCTGATGCATAAACCAATTGTTTTAGGTGGCCCCACAGATAAAAATCCAAAAGATTGGGGGAACATTCAGGCCTACCTATCCATCTTTCATGGTAGATGTCAGCCAGTGCATTGTGAACAATGTGACTAACCCCATCATGCATGAACCACATGCATCTTTGTACTGGCAGAGGTACATCCTCTGGCAGGTCTAGAATTGTGTTCAAAATAAAGTCCCTATAAACAGCTCCTGTAAGAGATGCTAGGAGAACATATGACCTACCAAACAGTCACCTACAATTCCAGCCCACACATTAATTGTAAACTGATTGTGGTGTTTAACCTGTATTGTACCATGGAGATTCTGATCCACCCACAAATGTTGGTGATATAAATTTGTTATTCCATCTCTTCCAAATGTTGCCACATACATAAACATGACTGAAGAGACAAACAATAAATTGGCAGTTTGTGCAATAAACCATTGGCAAGTGTTCTCTCATGGTGAGCAATAAGAGGGTGAAAGACCCTGCACAAATTGCAAATGATGTGGATACAAGAGCTGCTCTTAAAGTACCCGATGAGATGTACATGCTAGGGTTACTTGATGTGTGCTGATACCTGGGTCATCTCCGACAGCCTACAAAATGTGTTCTTCGTGGTCAGCTGTAAGAGTGGATCTTGGTCTTCCTTGATCCATAGTTTGTAGTGCATGGATACTGTCTTAGCAATACGACAATAAACAGCAGCAAAGGCTGAATGATTCGGCTGCCTTCAGACTAGAAATGCAATCTGATACAGTCATGCTGCCTCACGTCAATTACCATGCTCGCGTCTGTATGTAAAAATCATATCTTGCTGCTCATGATATGAATATCCTGCCATTGCTAAATGGAACACTCCTCAGTCAACTCACTACTACACATTAACTGTTGAAGCTAGACTAGCCACAAATGTACACGAATAAAAAATGGAACCCAGTCTACATGGCAACATAGTGCCATCTACCATAAAGTTTCTTTAAACTTCCTAACTCAAAAATGAAGGATTTGCAGACATATATTTCTATGGATTTTTGTCCTTGTTTTGGTGTGAGGATCCCATCCCCAAAGTTTGTAAACTATCTTTGATACACCCTATGTGTGTGTGTGTACATAAATATATATATATATATATATACACACACACACATTGGTCATTCGATCTCAACCAAATGGCCACATGTGAACCTCTTAGACAAAGCTGGGAAAATTCTCAGGTGTTCTTTGATCCAATTTATTGATAAATCCCAAATATTAGATCCATATCTGTAATGGTTTTAAAATCAGAGAATCTAGAAATTTTACTGCATTTTTTGGCATCCTGCGGGGAAGAGGGTGCTGACAATTATTTTTATACCCTTATAAATAAAAGAACCCTGAAGATTATTATGGCATCCTTCAGTCTCAAGAGACCATAGATCTGTGCCCAAAGAGTTATGCCTCTCCAGGGCGCAGGCCTGGGCAAGTCTTTTTTGTTTTTAAAAGAAATAGTCAGTTGCCCCTCTCCACACCACCGATGTTGACCAAGAAAAGGGAAAGTCAGAGGTCAATACAACTTGGCACCAGCATTGTCACAGGAGTTGCCAGAACAAAATTGAACATGACATCGGACTGTCCTATGGACTCCAGTTCCGGATTTGAATTCAGAGTTGTCTTCTTCTAGTCTGATTGCCAAATATAGCTGCAAAGCCCAGATTTTGAATTCGGAGTTTTTCCTTCCTCTAGACTGGTTGCCACCTAAGGCTATAGAACCCAGTCTGTCCTGCTATTTACCCAGAGATATTTCAGTAAAAACATTTTGTAATATCAGAAAATCTGTCTTGAAGTTTTACACAAAATAATTCATCTCTATCTATAAAAGGCAGGATGTGTGTGTGTGTGTGTGTAACGAATGCACGGCTGCAATTTTTCGACAGATTTGCACCAAAATTTACATGCACAAAGTTAGCAGGAAGGCCAAGACCGACTTTACATTTCCCAATTCCCATCGATAGTGGAAATAATTAATTTTTTCATGCTTCTACGGCAGTTTTCATGTAGTTTGTGGCCATTTTCTACTGGCCAGAGTGAGAGCCAATAACTGGCTGCCACGAATAGGCAGGAAGATTCTATTGGCCAGCATGAGAGTCAACAGCTGACTGACATGAATGTTAACTAGCATGCAAAAAAAATCGATAGCTGCATTCGTCACAAGTGGGAAAAATTTAAATCTGCATGGCAATTTACTCCAATTGGCTCATTCGCTTGCTTAAACTCAACGTTGATTCTGATTCTGCAGAACTGGGTTGGGTGTGAAAAAGTATTTCTACAAAAATTTTTCATGCCAACATAATGGCTTTGCTGATTTTAGCATCTTTTAAATTTGCTATTTTGAAAATAGCAAACTGAAAGTCGGTACCTGTTGTAGTGTAGCACTCTGTGTACTTCAGCCTCTTCCTTACTACTGTGACAAATAGATTGCTCCTACTTACAAATATGGCAAGTAGCCACATTAGAGTAGGTTTTGAGTAGGATTTGATTTTTTTTTTGTTCTATGTATGAGAATTTAATAAACCTCTTATTTGTTTTCTCTGCCTAGTCATCTGTTTTTTCAATACTCTCTCTAACTACGACCTTTCTAATTCTTGGCTATTTTGAACAAAGACAGTATCTATATGATTTTCTATTTAAAGTATTTTTGGCTTCATTTTACATTTGCTCCAAATAGGTTAAATTAGAGGTTCTCAACCACTGGAGGAATTCCCCTTATGGAGGAATTTCAAGGTTTCAGTGGGAGCATTGGGACCACAGATTGGTAGACACAAAATGTTAACTTTCGAACTCCCCAAGGTGGCACAACCTGCAATGTGCATTGGTTCACACAACTGAGAAGTCACACTGGGTTTTCTTTCCGCTAGCTCTTGTGTTTTTTGCCACTACAAAAATAATCCATATAAATGTATTCATATTAATAGGGAAAAGACAGAAGATTTTCAGTAATATATGCATATTATTTGGAATGCGCCTTTTGAGTCGGACAATCTGATGACATCCTGATTTATAGTGAAAAACGTGAATCGAGCAAAATAAGTTGAGAATCCCTGGGTTAGGTGCTTCTTTTATAAACTTTTGTTTGAAGTATCATGTAAAGTCAACATCTTGATTATGTCATTATTTTATCTTGTCACACATGCAACTCATTTTAGTTGTTACTGCTATTTAAAGTCCTCAAGTGATGTAATTTCTGTCATTTGGTACAATTCTTCATTTCTGATTCTGTAGTGCCAGTTTGCATGGTTTGAAGAAGGATAGTCCTCCTTAAGACCTACAGGACTCATTTGGACAAAGCCATTTTCAATCAATGATCTGAGAAAGCATATATAATCATCTGTGACCAAAAATATGGTCAATTCTGCATAAATACTTACAGTTTTCAAAGCTTCTTTTACAATATCATCCTCCAGATTTTGTTGTATGTGGACTAGAAAGAAAAAGGTAAAATGTAAGTACTAAAAATACCTATCATAACATTCAAACTAATATCCTTATCTTTGTTATTTTGATCACTATCTTTCAGACAATGGATTCTGACCTTTGTTCTTATTATTCCTTTAATTTTCCAGACTAATATCCTTGTCTTTATTGTTTTGGTCACTACTTTTCAGACAATGGATTCTCTGACCTTGATGCAATGATCAAAACAACAAACATGAGGATACTAATTTAAATAATAAGAGGTTTTACTTTCTCCTTCGAAATCAGAAAAAATAAATAACAAATTGCTTTAAATATTTTTTTTCTGTTTTTGCTTTATAGCAACCACCTTTTTTTCTTTGAAAATTATATCTGATAACACTGGTTTTGATGAAAAGATAGCATTCAGAAAGCATGCTTAAGCAACATTCAAAGATTTGGTGATAAAATATTAAAGAACAATTTCTTCACTGATGAAAAGGAGACTCCCAGAAGGATTGAGAATCATTAAATGAAAGACGATAACTCAAAATACAATTGTTGAACTGGTATATATATCAATTATCCTGAAACATGGCAATCCTTGCTGTTCTCAGATGGTAAATGAATAAAGTTATTTTATTATGTATTAAAATACACTTGTCTTATTTTCATTTGTTTTTTTTGTGACATGAACAATTTCTTCTTGATGAAAAAAGGAGATGCTTAGCATGTAAATGTTTTGTTCAAGGCATTTGGGGACTGGCACATTTTTATCCAATAACGATGCAAGAGCTGTGGTTCTACAGAAGGATGCTGAGAATACCATGACTGAGGGGGTGTTAATTTATTTCCCCCTATAAAGGACGATAACTCAAAATACAATTGAGTTATGGCCTTGGCGCGGGCTAGTAGGAGAATCGGGCTAGTTGGACTGGCAGCACTTTGAATTCAACATGGTGATAAGCAGACTTAGAATGCCAGGGAACGCCCATAAGAACAAGAAACTCATGGTTTAAATCCAAACCAATCCTTGCTGTTCTCAGGCAGTAAATGAATAAAAGTTATTTTATTATGTATTAAAATACACTTGTCTTATTTTCATTTGTTTTTGTCTATCTCAACAACTTGGAATGTAACAGAAACATATAAGAAAAATGGAAAAAAAAGGGACACTTGTCGTGGAGAGCCATGATCACCAATGTCCCAAAGAGACAATGCTGATGAGGCGGGCTTTTAGAGACATTCAAAAAACACAAGAAGAAGACCCCTCAAATTTATATAAACTAACACAAATAGTTTAATCTAGTTTAATTAGCAGCATTGTCAAGGGTCAGGACATTCCTCAGTTATTTGCCACCAATATAATTTCAACTATTCACATTCAAGGACAAAACCATCATTGTTCTCTATTCTTAAGGACAATTTCAACCTGCTGATGTACTGTGCTAAGTAGTGAAGTTCAATAGCACAGTGATTCTCAACCACATGATCCTCTTAAATGTGCTGTGAAATATTATCACAGCATACATATATGATGCAGGCACCTAAACAACTATTTTTTTCCAAGTCGGGAGTTCTTCAAGGACGCTCACTGTTGGAAAAGTTAGTGTGATTTGGAGACAGATTCTCAGGAAGGCCAAGTTTGAAATTGTCTTGATACTCGCTTTATAACTGAAAAGTGCCATGATCACCAATGTCGATCCTCACTAGATGCCCCAAATACTTTAATTAGCAGCATTGTCAAGGGCCACATCAGTTATTTGCCACCAGTGGACTAATTTATGAAGTAGTGAAGTTCAATAGCACTTGGACATGATATAACTTTAAATGCTGTGAAATGATACAGTGAAACAGTCTTTCTGGTTTTAAAATGATCCCTATATATATATGCTTGGAAAATGACTACATATGATGAAAAGTCTTTATGACTATATATATATATATATATGAATAAGTGATGATCGGATGTCAAAAATTCTCATGGTAAGTGTAATGCAGACCATCATCAGTTACACTTCAAGGACAAACTCAAATACAATTTAAATGCTGCAAACATCCCTATAGAGGAGTTCGAACTTGCTGTTGAAAACCAAGCAAACTGGAGAAACACCTGCTACTGAGGTATAACTGACTTTGAAAAGAATTGTCTCAACCATCTGAGAGAATTAAAATCCATTCTTAATAAAATCAAAAGAAGAATCCACCATGTTAATGGTTTTGACCTGGCATCTCAGCTTAAGTCTCTTTCTCACCATTGTAACATAGCTTCCCTGTGCCTTTTCTATAAATACTTTCATGGTAATTTTTCTAATGAACTTTCCTTTATGGTACCTAGACTTTATGAATTTGATCACAGTATTAATTGGCTGTACTGCACTTAAATTCGGTTACATCTAGCCATTTCATCATTTTACTGTTGAAATGGCCGCTAAATGTAACTGTAAGTTCTATGCTAATAGTATCTTCTTTCACACTTCTTGCTTTTCAGACAACTTTGATCTTCAAAAATTTAAATGCAATGTCAATCGTTATTTACTGGATTCTTGATTTCTCTTCTTTTATTGTTCTCAATTCTTAATGTTTTTCTTATTCTTTCACATTCAGTAACCCTGTGTCTTAGTGGCTTTATTGCCTTTCTTAGGGTGAGATGATTAAAGAAAAAGTTAAGCAGTGTTGAGCTAGGTCACTATTTAGATGGGGGTGAATGCTTGAGAACAACAGGTCTTGTAAGCAATCTCCAGTGCTACTATAGTATGCTATCTACTATTTATTTCCTACTATATTTACCAACTGTGTTGGAAATATGAAATATATTAGGGTCACAGGTTAAAAGCAGTGAATAGTGAACTGGTTATGTATTAAAAATTCATTAATAATTTTTTATACAAAAAAATAAATGAAAATATCACCAAATAGTGATTTTAATGTTTGTGAACTGAATTGATGCCATTTAAAAACACAGTAAACTGGTCAAGGCACAAAGGGGTGATAACCTGTAAAAAAACAAAATCAATCAATCAAACTTAAGGATGAGAGATACATTCTCAAATACTGTTAAAAGCTTTTTTTTCTTTTTACTTTTGATCCACACTACATGTGTAAGATTCACTGAAGTTTGAAATGACATGAATATTCCAATAAAGAGCAACAAATTGTTGACGTAATGCTAAAGGGAGTATAAAATGAATTTTTTGTGAAATAAGAAAAAAAAAACATCATAAAGATAAAAGTTCCTGTCCTGGGTATGATGATAAACTACATCTGCATCCAGCATAAGACGATAAACTACGTCCAACAGCAAGGCCTCTGATCAGGAGGTTTTGAGGTACGTGGGACCACCTCTTAATTGATGGTGTTCCCAGGTCCACTCTGACCCAGGGTGGTAGCACCTGTTAGGGTACCAGCTATGGGTAAATAGTTAACCCCAAAACTGAGGTAAAAAGCATTATAAAAAATGTAAAAATAGGTTTTAACAGCAGAAATACTTTGTAAAAAAATTATTACCGGAAATAAATTTTTGAAGAAAAAAAAACTATTACCAGCAATACATTTTTGAAAATAATATTACCAGAAATAGATTTTTGACAAAACAAAATATTACCAGGAAAAAAAGTTTCGGCATTAAATAACCCACTGAGGTTGATATGTCGTAAAACAAACCAAACTAAACCAAGATAAAAGTTCAGGAGAAAGATGCATAATTTAATTTTTTTTAAATTTGGGGCTAACTTCACAAAAATTTTTTCTACCAGAATATTGCCTATGTCATCTTATAGAGGTCAACTTACTTCTTCCAAAAATGGAAGAACATGAAAAAAGGGGCGTATGCTCACTTAGGTAATTTTAGGATCACACTGACAATTTGTACAAAGACAAATGTGGCAATCTGAAAAAAATAACATCTTTAGTAAAAATTATTTTGTGTTGCCCTGTGTCAGATATAACTGAAGAGGTGTATTTCTTTTTGTATGGTTAGGATAGGTCAGTGTGATGCTAAAAACTTGACCTTTTTGTGAAAACAAATAGAAACCTGAAGTGAACAGAAACCAACATACACCCTTTTTGCACCATATGAATTTTTAAAAATTGAGTCCTAACTTCACAAAATGTTTTCTTATCAAAATATTGTCTATGTCGTCATCAGGTTACATGCTTCAAAAATGGAAAAGACGTGCAAAAAATGCGTATGTTAACTTCAGCCCTTTTAGAATCACACTGACAAAATATAGGAAAAACTAGTCAAAAATTAATAAGGAAAATGTTTAACCAAGAAAATTAAACAAGATTACAACAACTACATGTAAATAAACAACAAAAATGAATGATAAATACATTCATAAAATGAATAATAATAATAATAATAATAATAAACTATTTAAAGTTTTAGAGAAAGTGGAAACAAAAAGGACACTTAACATCAGAAAGAGACAGTTGACATTTCTAAGGCACATAATGAGGAAAGAGGGCTTGGAAAATTTGATACTCATAGGACAGGTTGAAGGCAAGAGAGACAGAGGAAAACAACACATAAGCTACCTAGCAAGCTTGAGTAAATGGATGGTGGAATAAGGTTTAGGAGAGATAACAAAAAGATAAAATTTATTAAAAGCTACAAAGGACAGGAAATTGTGGAGAGCCATGATTGTTGCATGTTGACAGCAGTAAATGATCTCAGCTCGGCTTTTTCTCTTAACTGGTGATCGCAATCATTTTGGTTTGGCAATGAAAGACTTCAACACAGAGAATTTTAACTTAACTATTTTTATTAATCATGTTGACATGTACTTTATTTAACTATCTAGTGGTGGGTCGCCCCTTCTCAGTGGGGAGCTGTTTCGGACACAAAAGAGAACACATCTACATCTCTTGATGAGTAAGAAACAACTCGATGAAACCTTTTCTCCTATAGCTCAACCAATAAAAATTGCCTTCTCTATTATGGTTCACATCTGACCCCAAGTGTCAACCTCCAGAAGTTGGAGCCAAGATACACTCCCTCTAAAAATAATAGTCTGCTAAACTATTGTTTAACATGATAGCCATCACCTTGAAGGACATGGCATATGGAAGAGAGGATGGGAGTTGCAATTTACTAAGTGCCTATATTCAATATATGTTCTGCTAATAATTCTGATTTTTGAAATTTGATCTTTACAAGAACTTATCAGCTGAAAGTATACACTTTTAAAAATTCAAATTGGATTGTTTTTAAAGCATTTCAACAATGTTAAAAAAAAAAAAACAAGAAAGCAAAGGAAAAGAACACATACGATCCACTTCATCCAGAAGAAAGTCTTCAGATGTAAGATCCAAGACTCCAAGGTTAGGAACAGGATCAATTCCCTGCAAAATAAAATATATATAAATATGCATTTAATATTATTGCAATAGGTTTTTATTTAAATTCTTAACATGATATTTATGATTACAAAAGAAAAGTTAACTTAATTTTATTTCATTGTTATCACTTTAATCTAAGTGTTATACCATAAATTATCAAAGTTGTCATAATGATCTAATTTTTGTTAGGGAGTACTTGTTACTTTAATATAGCAAAAAAATGACACATTATAGCAAGATTTTTCTTGATGAATAAAGCTATTTCTTGTTCAATTTGCAATAGTAATAACAGTGTGGGGTCTGTAGTCATGCTCACCCCAATAATAAAGATCCAATTTTTTTGTATATTTATGCATTATTACAAAAACTGAAAAGAAAGGAAGACTTTATAAATTACATAAAATAATGACACCTTTATTTTGTAAAAATAAATATTTTTTTTTTTTTTTTTACTAATTTTTAAATAGAAATATTTTTATTCACAAAATAAATGTATAAACTGGATGCTTTGGTAAAGCAAAAGTTCCCAGTCTACTCTGCTATTCTGAGAAGAAAAAGATTCATAAATATAAGGAATCTAAAGATCAAGCAGATGCAAAAATTCAAGTATTTGGGTAGTGTAGTAACAGAAACAGTGAAAGACGTCTTTCAGAAACTAAGAAAAGTATTAAGGGATGAGAAAATGTCCTTAGAAACAAACTTAAAGAGTGCTGAACTTTTAAATAAATTGTCTATAATGAATGTTGGACAATCACTTCACATGAAAAACAGATTTGACACAAGAGATGATGTTATATTGACAACTGCTACAGACAGAGTAGGCATTTATCTACCTACCCACTTGAACATAAGGTCAAGTTTAAAGTAAGAGTTCTATGCATACATGGACTATGGTAAAAAAATATATAATTCAGCATACATAAAGATGAACAGAATTTTGCAAATAATGGTACTGGTAATATTAGCCATTTCCCTATAAGGAAACATTCAGCATTCATTGACTGAGCATCCAGAACTACTAGGCGAGAGGGGAATTAACAGGAGATAACTGATAACTGATTTTCATTAAACATGGCATGTGGAACTAGAACAGACTACCCCAGTGAGCAAAATAAAGGGTTCAGTTCGACATTCCAACCACCTGAAGAAGGCCAGAGTGTACAATGGCCGAAATGTTGTAATAAATATGGCAACAAAGATGAGGACAATAGTCTGAATAATGTAAATAGTGTACATAATACCTCATCTCAGAAATATAGACAGATCCAGTAGCTGTTATCACTCTTTCCTGTATTGATGGGGAGGGGTTCCTTTTTAACCTTTTATTTGGAGTAGTGTGGAACATCAACATTTTGATTATGTCATTATTTTTTCTTTTTGAGTTATGTGCTATCCATTTTAGCTGTTCCTGCTGTTGAAAGTCCTCAAGTGATGTATTTTCTGTTACTTGGTACAGTTCTTTATTTGTGATTGTGTAGCGCCAGTCCACAAGATTCCAAGAAGCATGGTCTTCACACATGCTACATCCACTCAAATCCATTTTTAACAAATGATCTTAGAAACCAGTTGTATATAGCTGACATTTTAGATATTTCTGAACAGGTTTGGTGCCATGTATGACATCCACATGAAAGTCTCAATCTGATAGCACTATTTAAGAACATGAGTTTTCAGGTTAATATTTTGGTTCTATAGTAATTTGCAGTGTTAGGTGAAACTACTTCTAGTACAGCCTATTCTATATTCACTTTCCTCTTCTCCTATAATAAATTTATCATAACTGATTCAAAAACTGAGGTATTTGAAATGTTTAATATTTACTAATTTCATATCCTGAATTTTTATGATGGATTAAGGGTAGGTTCCATCATTGCTTTCATTCCAATTCCAGATCATAGTTCTTTTGAAAAAAGTTTGAGTCCTATTTCTTGGAACACTTGGTAGAGGATATTGATTATCTGTTTAAGATCATTCTTATCCTAATGAATACCTATGTCATCAGCATTGCTTCCCTCATCATCAGTACATAGAAGGGAAAGCAGGGTTGTTATCTTCTATTGGCAGATTCATTTGGTGTGTAGCATGGAATGCTTAAATGATCAGTGCCAATCTCTTCACATCTGATGATTTGTAAATGTACAGGAAAAGAATAAACAAACTGGGGCTCCCATTTAAGGCACTAGGGGCAAAAATTGTTCAAGCTACATGGGCATTTTCCTATTTGGATGCCTCAAAGAGTGACCCCCAGTTCTCTCTCTTTTAATAAAATGGGAAAATTGCTGTCTGGGATGGGGGATGGCCCTTGGAGTTGAGCATATTTCATGCTTTGATTAGGGTTTTAAATAAACAAAGTATATAAGAAGTGATAATGTTTTAAAAAGAATATGAAACTGCTGTAAACAATCAGAAAGTGAGAGATAAAAATTTGGGATACATAATGAGAAAAGAAAGCTTAGAAAATTTAACAACCATAAGGTACATTGAAAGCAAGGAAAACAAAGAGTTATTTAAATGGGCGTTTTTTCAAGGAGGCCCTGTGCTTTGAGAACCAATTGGGTTGGTTGGTTGGTTTTGCTTTATGATATATCAACCTCTGTGGGTCATTAAATGCCAACAAAATTTTGAAATAGATTTATAGTGATAGTTTGGTTTGGTTTGTTTTATGGCATATCAACCTCAATGGGTTATTTAATGCAGACAAAATTTTTGTTACTGGTAATATTTTTTCCTTCATAAATCTATTTTTGGTAATATTTTTTGCTTCAAAAATCTATTGCTGGCAATTTTTTTACAAAAAGTATTTCTGGTATTAAAATCTATTTTTACACTTTCATAGTGTTTTTACCCCAGTTTTGGGGTTAACTATTTGCCCATAGCTGGGACCCTAACAGGTGCTACCACCCTGGGTCAGGGTGGGCCTGGGAACACCAGCATTTAAGAGGTGGTTCCACACTCCTCAAAACCTCCTGATCAGAGGCCTTGCTGTTGGACATGGTTTATCGTCTTACCCAGGACGCGGATGTAGTTTATCGTCATACCCAGGACAGAACCTATTGGGATAAGCTCCCCACAGACCACAAATGGAAATTGTATATACCATACATCATTAGAAATATTGGGAAAAAAATGGTTGGTTCTCTGTATCACTGAAGTAAGTATCCAATTCCTCCTGCCATGCTCTACCTTTACAAGTACCAGATCAGTCCATAAAACTGCTGTATTATATGGGCAGGAACTGTCCAGTCTTCAATTTCAATAGAGCCAAAAGCATCAATACAGCCTTGTGAGTGATGAATTGTTTTACACCTTACTCCCACAGATGAAAGATTGTTTGGTTTGGTTTGTTTTACGGCATATCAACCTCATTGGGTTATTTAATGCTGACAAGATTTTTAGGATAGGTTCGTATGAATAGAATATGTATTCTTTGTAAGAAATCAGTTTGTAGATCAGGTTTGGTTTATTTTGTTTTATGGCATATCAACCTCAGTGGGTTATTTAATGCCAACAAGATTTTTATTGCTGGTAATATTTTTTTCAAAAATTCATTGCTAGTAATAGTTTTTTACAAAACAGTATTGCTGGTATTAAAACCTATTTTTACACTTTCATAGTGTTTTGACCCCAATTTGGCGGGGATCAGCTATTTGCCCATAGCTGGGACCCTAACAGGTGCTACCACCCTGAGTCAGGGTGGACCTGAGAACACCAGCAATTAAGAAGTGGTTCCACACTCCTCAAAACCTACTGATCAGAGGCCTTGCTTTTGGATATAGTTTATTGTCTTACCCAGGATGTGAATGTAGTTTATCGTCATACCCAGGATGCGAAAGGTTGTAAGCCTCTCACTATTTTAACACTATTTTCATAGAGAGTGTTCAAACTACATTCTTTTTAGTCCCGCCAGTTCAAATAAAATTCACAGCTAAGACCCGCCATGTACATTGCAACAAACCACCCTTATTCTCTAATTGGTGAGATTGAGATGTAAGTTCCACTTGATCAACTTCTTTCCACGAATTGCTACTTTGTAGAATAGACTCCAAAGAGGATGCTTTCCTAATCTTAACCTGTTCAAATCATATATCTGCCTCTTACTCTGTAACCCTCTACCTCGCGTGGCTCTTGGGCCTTGTACACGGTGAACATTATTATAAACAACAAAAAAAACAATTGTACAAGTATGGACGGACGGCAAAACAAATAAAAAAAAGAGTACTAAAAAAAGCAATGTAGCAATTGCACTTGATGATACCGACATCTTAGGAGGGCAGAGACAGACAGAGAATGACATTTATTTCATTGACGGTTACTATTTTAAATATTATCCTAATTACAATAACAGCTGAATAGTTAATTAAGCTAAAATTTGGTTGTTTGAATCAATATATTTCTATTGGAAAATATATGCATTGAAGGAACATAACCTTCATCTAGATGAAAATATGAAAAATAAAATTTAAACATGGCGTTGTTTTGACTGAAGACATTTTAAAAAGCGTACAATACATGACCGTTGTTTGTTTTCATTCTTCAAATCAATTAATCTCAAGCATTTGAAACTTTTATATCATAAAATAACCAAAACAATAAATTCTTTCTTTCTGAAATAAAATTTAAATCATTGTTTAAAAAAGATATTGAGTTCATTGATGCTCTCTCTTAAAGAAAAAAATGTAAACATATTTATGTTGCAAATTAAAACAAATAAGAACAATGACAAGCAAGGTCATTAAGAGACAAAGTATACAGCAAATATCTTTTTAAACGTAATTCAAATTAATCTCCACAAAAACAGATTTTAATTTATTGAAATATTAAAAACAGGTGCTTCGTCTACGGGGGCAAAACTACACAGACGACATTTTAATGAATTGAGCTACTACATTAGCACAAAGCCGCACATTACATCCAGATTCAACCAATGTATTTAAGAGACGATGACAGAATTAATAAGACATTAATTATTGTTCGATAATATATTGTTTCCAAGAAAATATAAAACGTAGTCGATAATTAAAAAATAGAATCTTTTTGGTTACCTCTAAGCCGTTTGTGTCTTCTGTTGTGGTATCCATTTTTTTATGATTAATCACGTGATACACGTCACTTCCTCTTCCGTTAAACCGCAATCATGGTAAGTTGACGTGTTTTATTCTAGCTCTGTTATCTGATTTAATCTTGTCAATTTTACTAATTTTTCATACATTTTAGATATCGTAAATTATGGTTAAGATTTGTCTGTCCATAATTTCTTCAATTTCCTTTTATTGCAGTACCATTAATTTAGTTTTTTCGCCTTGTAAAAAATTGCTCCGCACGTATTGTCGGCCATAAGGCCAATTTCAAACATGTCGCCGTCATCGTTTAAGAAATAGGAAATATATTATTCTCTTTTTTTTTTTTATATTTTCATTTATAACTTTGCTTCTTTTTTTTCTTTTTGTCATTTATTTTTTTTATTTAGATTCAATCTTCGTTTTTTCTAATTCGTATATTTCCTCTTCGAAAATCTGAGCCTCATAGCACGTGGATTCACAATTCCCATGAAACTTAAATTTATTTTAAATTGTTTTGCTAAAAAATGGTTTAAATTCACTTTGACATCTCTGATTTTTTTTCTTTAAAAAATCATTTAATTATTTTTAATAAATTTTCTTTGTTTTGTTAAAAAACGAAAAAGCCGGGTCGTTCGATTATTTTAGAAAAATTGCAAAGATTTTTTATCATTTCTTTTTTCTCTCTCTCTCTCTCGAATATTTGTCTTTAATGATTTATTTTAAACTTTATTCTTAATTAAAAAAAATACATCTTTCTACTCTTATTTTTTTCTGGAAAAGACTTCTTCCGACTTTCAAAGTAGCATGTTTTACATGTTCTACAGGCATCTAGTGACATTAAAATAAATGCTTGCTTTTTTTATTTTATATGTATATTGATTTTTTTCTTGTTGAAACTAAGATATTAATTAATTACATACCATTTTTTTTTCTTAGTCGGAACCTTTAATTTGTAAACATTTATTTAAAATCCTCTTCCCGCAACAGTTGAAATAACTTAAACTTGTTATACATATAACATTTTTTTTTTTGTATAAAAAAAATTGCACCATATAGCTTAATTTTTAAAAACGTTTAATTTAGTTGTCAAATCTTAATTGCAATTTTTAAGAACGGTCCAATAACATAACTGCATTCATCTTTGCAAAAAATGAGTAAATTGATTCGAGTTCGCTTCATTTCCTAATTTTAAATTTGATATTAACCAAAAAAAAAAAAACATTTGGAAGTATTAATAATTTCATGTTCCGACTTACAATAGACATGGAAATAAAAAATTTTGTAAGTACAAGTTTACAGTAAATAAATTTTTTTTTTTTATATACTTTTAACATCGACTGCCATGAATTTCTAATGTGGAAACTTCTGAGTTATGAAACTTTTTACCTTAGAGCAGAAAGTGGGGGAACCTGTTTATGTTTATATATAAGCTTAAAAAAACCTCTGATCTAAGTCTTACCTTTTATCTAATAACAATGGAAGAAAATGCAGAGTAAGCATCCTCCAGTACGCGTATATTTTCAAAACTTTACGAAAATTTAAGCTTTAAAGAGCCAATCTTAACCGCTTTTTTAATTAATTTTAAAAATAAAATGCAATTGAAACATTTACTGTTCTTACATCTTTTTAAGAATAAAAACGTTTAAAAATTTAATTTTTAAAAATAAAATTATAAAATAAAACATTTTGTTTTGAATTTTTTTTTTTTTTTTTTTTTTTTTTTACTAAAATATTTTGTGGGGGAGATTTATTTAATTACTAAACGTTTTTAATGTTTTTAAAATTGTCTATTCTGGATGGTAACTGAACAAAATTCCAATCTCAAATAATAAAATCCTCGTATATGACAGAAAACAAACAAATGAAAATTCAAAGAACTGGGACTTTATGTATTTCTTTAGACAATTCTGTATTGTTCTTTGAGTTTAACAAGGAAATTTCAAGATATGTTTGATTCCAGATTTAAAATAATCAATGAGATAGACCCTTTTTAATTTTCTATCTTTTTTCTGGTCTTTAGATATAAAAACATAGGTTTTGAAGCCAATTTTTGTTTAAGCAAAATCCTACTTAAAAAAAAAAAATGCATTTCAATTACTGAACATTAGTGTTATTATCTTAGATGTCAACAAGTATTTTACAGTAGTATTTATTTTATTATTTTTTAATTAGGCTGCAGTTTGTTCAACACCTTTCTGAAATAGTTGATTGAATTGATTCTCTTTTAAACTCAAAAATCTGAGTAAATTGTCATCTTTTTAATTTAATTTAAAACAGCTTATTTGCATTCAATTGAAAGAAGAGATCTGCTTTAAGATTTGTATCAGTATGGTATGAAATTAAGTCTAAAGTTGTCACTTCATCTTAGATATATTGTGATGTTTTCATTAATTTTTCTTATTTTGTTCCTTTTAATCTCAAAACTGTTAAGTACCTCCGCATAAAAAATATAGTTTTTACTTAGTTTTCATCTGATACAGTTTCTGTATTATACAGAAATTTAAAATCAGATTAATTAAAATTTAAATCAGCTAATATTCCTCAAATACTTTCAGAAAAGTATGCCTATTTTTGAAAGTTTTTTTTTTTTTTTTTTAATAAAGGGAATTACATTGTTATGATCAATGGTTAAAAATTTCAAAGCTAAAACACCTTCCAGTCAATTAAAATTGGTTGTGAAATACAGAAAGGTAGTTTGCTTACTTAGAACAAAAATAAAATCTTCAAGAAAAAATTTTAATTTTTAAGAATTTTAAACCTTTGGTATGCTCTGATGAGCTTGAAGCTTGAATCCATAGGTTTGGTTTCCGTTTCACAAATCTTTGACTCCTGGTTGTTTTTAGATCTTTGTTATATGTGGATCAGTGGTAGTTATGAGTACAGGTTAGTTGGTGAAAGCTTTTCTTTTTTTTTTTTTAATCAGTTATTAGAGATACTGGTTTCTAATAAGTCATTTTGTATTCCGTTTTTGATATAGTTTGGTTAGAGTTTGCATTGTTATTTTTAATGGTGTTCTTTATGAAGTTGGAAGCAGATTGCCTGGTTGATATTAGAACCAGCAGATATTCAAATTTAATTATAGAAACACATTCTCTCCCTTCTTGTGCTTTATTATCAGTATATTAAAGGCCACAACACTTTTTAAAAAAAAAGGATATAGTGTGAGCTTTCAGACCATTTCCAATTAACAATTATTTTAAGTCTTCATTTTCAGTTTGTTTTTTTTTTTTTTTTTTTTTCCCCAAGTAATTTTTCCTTTGGTATTCTCTCTGTAACTTTATAAACTTTATATTTTTCTCCTCCAGACTCTCGTAATCCCAGACAAGTTTCAGCACATTTTGCGTATTATGAATACGAACATTGACGGTCGCAGAAAGTCAATGTTCGCCATTACAGCCATCAAAGTAAGTCAATTTTTAAAATTCAAATACTTGCTCATAATATTTCTTGTGATATTACCTAACACAATAATTTTGATTGGGGCTTAGTATTTAGAAAAGAAAAAAAAAATGTCTGGTGTATAGAACCTGATTAGAGAAGCAATGCTTATAAAACTTTTTTTATGGAAGAGATAATTTATAGTAAAGTAATGCAGATGGCGCATAGTTGATAGCAGACATAGAAAGGAAACTACAGAAGGTAATGATCGCAAGAATGGACTAAGCATAAACTATGATAAAACAGAATGCATAGTTATCAGCAAAAGGATGAGTCCAAAATGCAAATTATGATTTGAGATGCTAAAATCAAACAAATACAGAAATTTAAATATTTGAGGAGTATTCTAATAGAGGAGGGAAAATGTGTCACTAAGATAATTCCAAAAGCTAAACAGATGGAAAACATCTAAGAAACAAAAGGGGGGGTACTGAACTGTTATGTGCTATCTGTCCTGTATGGCAGCGAATGCTGGACTATCTCAAAGATGAAGAGACTTGCAGCAACAGAAATGTAGTTCTACACAAAGATGCTAAGGATACCATGGACTGAACTTGTGATCAACGACGAGGTTTTGGAGAAAAAGGAAACTTGTATTTAACATCAAGAGGAGGCAGTCAAAATTTCTGGGGCATGTAATGAGGAAGGAGGGCTTGGAAAATCTGATACTTACAGGATAAGAAAGCAGTGTGTGACATATCTGATAAGCTTAGACAAATAGATGGCAGAACTGGGTTTGTGAGAAATAACCAAAAGACAAATCTTATGAGAGACAGGAAGATGTGGAGGGACATGATTGCCTATGTCCTAAAGAGACACAGAACATTAGGTTGTGCAAAAATTTATGCACAATGGACTTAGTTTTAAAATATCAATTTCTTGCTTTATTTTTGTTTAAGAAAAAAAAAAAATCTTGGTTTATTAACACATTCACTCCTGCCTTGGATGTTTAAACCCTTACATAATGCCATCAATGTTTTTGATAGTTACCATTAGAAATGGCTATAAAAGACTACTTAGGCTTTATTTTGTTAAATAAAATTAACTTTATTAATGCATTCACTACTGCCTTGGATATTGGAACTCTTAAAGAGTGTTACTTGTTTGCTACCATGAAAAATGGCTCTAAATGTGTTTGCATGAACCACTATCCTTGAACAATCACATGTGGACCTTCAGCACAAATCTCAACTGGTGCATTTTGTTTCTTTGAGACCTGAAGCTAATATTGATCATTCTATTATAAATCAGTTGAGTGTGCTTGGCTTAAGTGTGTCAGTCATGTATATTATTAGTAATTAGATTTAAATTTGGTTATTTCCCAGGCAGCCTAATATCAAGATGCTTCTGCAAAATGAATTTTTTTTTTTTTTTTTTCGGTCATAAATAAAAACATTTCACTTCAATCTATATTGATTTCTCTCTTTCATTAGGGTATTGGACGCCGATTCTCTAATGTTGTCTGCAAAAAGGCTAACATTGACCTAAAGAAACGTGCTGGTGAATTGACCGAAGAGGAGGTTTGTTTGTTTTTCTGCTTTTTTTTTTTTTTTTTTTTTTGTACATGCATTATTTATTTATTTCCTTGCTTGCTGTAAATTTGGATTGTATTTTATGTTTGGCATCAGGCATGGGCCATACACTCTCATTTTTGATATTAGCCCATACAGAAAATTGAGGGATTTGAGAGCTGAATTTGAATTCCAGTCGAGTTCATTACATTCACTTGCATGCTAATGACCTTGGGGAAGGTGTAAATTCCTCTCTTCTTAGCCATGTCCCCAACTAAGGGTAAATAGGACAGGCTGGTTTCTATGGCCTTGGATGGCAACCGATCTAGGAAATGGGAATCTCTGAATTCCAAACTGTATGGGGTCCTGGTAAAGCACATACTATATAGTTACAGAAAGGCACGTTTGCATTGACTTGCTCCTGACTATGGCTAACTCCTAACCTACCATAGGTTCAAACTGCTTTTTAAAACCTGGCCAATATTTAAGGGATCTCTAAGGTCTGGTTAATTATTTGCACAAAAGCTAAAACATTACTATTTCATGTCATTGTCTCAATTCTTGTACATTAATTCATCAAGAAACCATATTTAATAACAGGCAACTTTTGTAACTTTGGTTTTATTCAATTCACTTAAAAAAAAAAATACTAGGCTTACAGCTGAAACACTGGTTCTTGTATGATCACTGGGCTTAAGCAACATTGAGCCTGGTCAATACCTAGATGAGTGGCCTGTTGGGAATAACAAGTGCTGGGAACTTGGTTGTGTGGGCATTGTGATGGATAATAGCTGGCAATTGGAAATCTGTGAGCCGAGTTCCAATTCCGGTTGGGCTTGTTATATTCACTTGTATGCAGATACGTAAAGTAGTGCCTGTATCAGTAAATCATTGTTTCTTCTGGCTTTAAATAACCTACAAAAGGTTGATAAACCATTAAGAAAAAAAAACAATCAGTCTTGCAGATGGCCTTTCAAAATTCTTTTTCCAGGCGTTGGCATATAAACTGCATCTAATTTAAAAAAGAGTGGGGGGTGTTTTGCAAATATTTCCTTTCATTACTCTGCAATGCACTAACATTGTGATTAAGGTTGTTGTACTCATTGTGCTGTTTTTCTTCTTTTTTTAGGTTGACAGAGTTCTGACTGTCATGTCCAATCCTCGTCAATATAAAATCCCAGACTGGTTTCTCAACAGACAAAAAGACATCAAGGATGGCAAATACAGTCAAGTGATGGCTAATGCACTGGATAACAAATTGCGTGAAGACTTGGAACGTTTGAAGAAAATCAGAGCTCATCGTGGTCTCCGTCATTTCTGGGGGTGAGTCTTTCAGCATTTTGAAATTATTTTGCTTTCCTGTTGTTAATTATGCTCTGTACCATTTGTGATCTACTACATGGGATATAGACTTTACTAGAAGTTATTAAACTCTTTTTTTTTGTGTGTGTCTGTGTTAAGCCATTATAGCATTTTATAAACTTTGATATCTTACCCCTTAGCGCTGATTATCAGGTAATAGTGTGGCTGGATTTTGGTTTGACAAGGTTATTTCAGTGTTTAGAAATAGACAAAATAATTCACCTTTGTAGACAAAAAATGGCTGCATCGGCATCCGATGAAGCCTTTATTCAAGAGTTTTTCATCGATTCAAACTCAATGATTTTGAAGTTTTTACTCAAGTGGATATTGATGGTGAAGTGATCGAAGATGATGACCACTATTGGCTATTATCATCCATGCCTGGCTAATTTCATGGAAGCTACTGGTGACCATCGATATACAAGCCTTCCTGAAGGTGAATTATTTTGTCTATTTCTAAGTGACAGAATAACTATTTGTCACCGAGACAAATATGTTTGTCGGGTGAAAGAAAGACCAAACAAATGCTGGGGTCTTCTCGTATGTAAACACTAGGAGGCATGTCACTATTTTTTGATGAAATGAGAGCCATAGCCATTTTACTTTTTACTGCACCCCAGAACTTTGCAAGAAGTAATAAAAGTCTGTTAAATTGTTAGTGTGTGGTTTGTTTTTTTCTCTCTCTAAAATGTCAAAACATGCATGTAGAACATAATGTATTACATCAAAATCCATTCTTTTATTAGTGTACAAAAATTAAAATCTATACACACAATGCAAAGAAAGTTATAACAATTTTAAAAGAGTAGGTGCTTATGTTATTCTCTCCCCCACCCCCCATGCAATAACAGTGAGAACGATTTAACATGTTAAAGATTAAAACTAATATTGACATTTATTGCCTCTTTGCAAGTTTAAATTTTTTTTTTTTTTTTCTTCCAGCTTGCGTGTCAGAGGTCAGCACACAAAAACTACCGGTCGTCGTGGTAGAACTGTTGGTGTAGCCAAAAAGAAGTAAATTTGTATAACAACTTATGGGAAACAAATAAACTACAATTAAGAAAATTTTGTTATTTTTCATAGTTTTTATTTTCTTCTCTAAAAGTGTTTCCTATTTTGCCACAAGTCATTGACTTATTTTCTGGACTAACAGGTATTCTATCTTTATGGTAACCGCCATACTGCATGTTCAGCTTTTTCTCTTGATTCTACATTTGATCATTGTATTCAACAACAAAAAAAAATACTCTTTGTGTAACAGTATTATAGATGGAGATTCATTTTTGTGCTTATATATATGTGTGTTGGCTTTTTTGAGCACTTTCAACCCTTGGTAAAGCATTTCGACTTGTCTTTTTAAGTAAGTCTTTACAAAGAAATTAATTTTTATTCATCTGACTGATGTTATCACTTTTAAATGTTATTTTTAGTGGATATCCATGTTTGAATAGACACTCCGTTTATTAAACAGTGTGTTTGTTTATTTTTGGTCTACCGACCTGAATATTTGAGAAATCTTATTAAAGAAAAAGATACCTTCCCCTGGGCAGGGGAAACCGTTATTAGATCCAACATTCTTTAGATGTCTCGGCCATGAAGTGCATATACAGCCTGTCTGAAGTTAGGCAAATCAAATAAATCTAAATAACTAAAAAAATTTAGAACCAATATTTGTCAAAATTAAACTCGTCCATTTCCACTCTTAGTAAAATATTTAAGTAAATTTTTTAATGGTTAATTTTTGAGATATTTGGAATTCACGAAAATGGACCGATTGAAGTTAGTATGCAGATTAAACGAATAGCTTGAACCCTCTGAAATGTAATAAAGACTATTTTTTTCTTTTTGTCCATAATACATGTTGAAACATGGCAAAAGGGATTTAACTGCTGAAAAACAAATTTATTGAGGTTGTGTCCACATTGGAGATATCAAAGGAGCTTCATTTACATTATTCGGACTATTGTCTGAATCTTTATCACGTTTCGGCCATCTTCAGGTGGTTGGAATTTCAAACTGAACCCTTTATTTCACTCACTTGGGTAGACTGTTCTAGTTCCACATGCCATGTTTGATGGATGTCAGTAATCTCCTGCTAATTTTGCTCTGAAAGTTCTCCACTACCTTAACCGGGTATTGAACTCACACTCTTTGGGTCTTGTCACTGGATCTAACCAATGCCTGTATCCACTGTGCCATGTGTCCTTGAGGACATCTGGGTATTATAAACCTAATGTCTTCAGCAACCATTCTTACCAGTGCTGATATTGCAACTTTCGTTGTTAATACTTTTTTTTTTTTCTGGCACTCCTTATTACTGGTTCCCATATTGTATTTATTTCTATGCTTGGTCGGCTCAGGAGATTTTTGTGGCTTAGCATATGTGCTGATTTCTTAAGTTTATGAATTTTCTAATGGTGTTCCTTGGAAAATTTCAGTGTGAGTTCAATACCTGGTTAAGGCAGTGGAGAACTTTCAGAGGGAAATTAGCAGGAGATAACTGATAACTGACATCCATCAAACATGGCACGTGGAACTAGAACAGTCTACCCCAGTGAGCGAAAGAAAGGGTTCAGTTCGAAATTCCAACCACCTGAAGAAGGCCGGAGCGTACAATGTCCGAAATGTGATAAATATGGCGACAAAGATGAGGACAATAGTCCAAATAATGTACATAATACCTCGTCTCAGAAATATAGACAGACATCAAAGGTGCTGAGATCAAATAAAGAAGCTGTTGAAAATATCTGCTGGGCGTCGGCACACATGGACAACTTACTGGTAGAGGAAGGAGGGCGATCACCAAAGCTCTCTACTGCGCCGAAACGGTGACTGGACCGAGATTTGCATGGAGAATAGACCCGTTAGAAGTGAACTGAAAGTTTGGCGGGAGACGACAGCCATTCAACGTCCCAGGGATATCCAAGAACTCAAAGCAAAGGGAAAAGGCTTGAAGAACTTGCTTCCTGGAGATGAATGCAAACTAAAGTTATAACGAAACAACCACTTTGAAAAGGCTGGAATTGAGGGAGTCAAGAAATACATAAATATTGACTTTTCTAAAGTAATTTTCATGGACGAATCTCTAGTGACAGTTGATAGACAGGCCAAAGGATGTATTTTATCCAATTCAGATGTGCCTATGACTAAAAGAAGGCAACAAAGGCGGTAGTGTTATGGTTTGTCCTGGAATTGTAAACCAAACTTATTGAACCATTCCAAGTTGTTGAAAGAGTTCAATTGAACAGTGCTAACTATTGCGATTTTATGACAAGATTTTCTTTGCATGGTACAAGTCGCAGTTTTAGTGCTCCTTCTCGTGTATCTAAGCTTACCTGTGAATTCTTTGAGCATAAAATATTTACAAGAGAGAAGATAATGAAATGGCCACCATCAAGTCCTGATCAAAAATCTATGGCCAATTGTGAAGATGAAATTATATGAAGGTAGCAAAGCAGACCTATGGGAAGCAAATAAACTACCATATTGGAAGCTGAAGTGTAAAAAAAAAAAAAAAAATTAACAAAATCAATGGCTAATAGATTGCTTGCTGTTTTTAAGTATCACTATATTAAAATGTAAAGGATTCAAAGACTTATATGTGTTATTTGTTCTATTATAAGTGTTGATCAATTTTTTATGATTTTATTAACTTTTTAGTGAAATAAAATGTGATTATTTGGTTTTGCCTAATAACTTTAGGCACCAGATTTTTTTTTTTTTAGAAGACATCAATACAACATTGATACTAACTCAGGCTTTGTTTTGACATCTAAATTGATTGTTTAAAATTTGACTTTTTTTTTTTTTTTTTTTTTTTTTTAGAAAACCAAATTTGAATTATTGAACTTTATGATTTGCTTAACTTCAGACAGGGTGTAGCCATTTCCTATTGATAAAAGAAGCCTTTGCATTTGATAACAGATGCTTGTCTTCCTGATTTAAGGCAAGTTTTGTCCATCAATATAGACATTTCTATTGATAAAAGCCTTTGCATTGGATGACAGATGCTTGTGTCTCCATTATTCAATGACTTTTATTGGAAAAATGAAGTAAATGCAATATATTTAAATATAAAATAGTAAATTATTAAGATACATGCATTTTTTTAATTCAAATCTTGCGGTATATATATATATATATATATATATTAAAGTATATTAAATAGTACGTACGAACATTCATCAAAATACGAACTCTTTACGTTCACGCACAAACACAAAGAGAAGTAGCAAACGTTTTTGGTTATAATGTGGATTTTTCTATATATATTATACTTTATTTTTCATATTTTTTGCTACACTGGTTTCGTATCTTGTGACCTTCATCAGGCGAAGAATGGTTATTTCCACATTATTTAGAGGAATTAATTTTTTTCCTTATATTTTCTTATGTTTATCCATTGTCGTTTGTGTGTGGTAGTAATCCAAATTCTTCTTGGCCTGGTGGAAAAATCTTCCTTTGCTTCATTTAAGATTGGTCAGAGAAAGGGAAAGGATGGTCTCCTCTTTTTATGTCTATATCATTTTAAACTTTCCTCCATTTCTGTGTATTGTGAGTTCTTTGATAATCATCTGTGTTTGATATGCACCACTAAAAATGGGCTACAAAATTCTGGAAAAAATTAGTATTTGTATCACTATTCGAACTATTGACTTCATCCTTAATGTGATCACATTTCGGCTTCATCAGGTGTATATTGATCTGGCTAACACAGAGAAATCCGAAGTGAACCCTTTAATTAATCTACGCAGCAGGCAGGCAGATCAAACTTAAGTTTTTCACATTGAATTGTTGGATGGGGTAGTAGCCTGGTGGATTAAGCTTTTGGTTTGTGAGTTCAATCCCTGGGTCGGGCAGTGTGATAACAAAAATGATGAGGACTATAGTTTTTCGAGTTTGTAGAAGCTAAATTTAACATTCATTCACTTCGGTTCGTATTAAAACGTGAATTTATGTAGTTTACATTATGTTTTGAAATGCAAAATTTGTACAGTATTTACATAGATAACTTTAAACGTTATTTTTAGTGGATTCCCATATTTGAGTAGACGTTCCGTTTTTGTAAATTTATATATGTACTGAGTCCCGATAACAAATATATATATATATATTATATATATATATATATATATATAAATAAAAAAAATTAAAATTAAAATAAGACAGTTGCACTTTCTTTTGAAACCGTTATCTCTCTCTAAACTTCTCTTTCTATACTTCTCTCAACTAACGAGAAGGCAACCCTCAAATAAAAAGGAAAAAGAAGAAATGACTGAACTCGTCCGAAAAATGCCGGAGATTTACAAGATTAGAGTCTACTTATTTGTGAGTGAATAAAACCCAAAATCAGCGAGGCTCCACACATAATTTCCATTATAAAAAAAAAAAAAAAAAAAATGAAAAAAGAGAACGGCGGAAAATAAAATAATTTTGACCAATCAAAAAATTGACACAAAGTGACTTTTGGTGTTAGCCGGAACTAATGTTCGTGCCAGAGTCTTGGAGCCTGGTCAAAACGAATATAGACTGACACCTCACCTAGAAGCAGAAGAGACGGCGAGAGTGACGAACGGAATCATTACACAGAGAAACCTGCTATGCATGACGCGTGAAGAAGTAGCTAAAAGGTCATCTGCTAATGATATTTCTATATTGATTAGGGCCAAGAAAAACAGTAAATTTACATTGACCTATTTCTATTACTACTTTCCCTATCATGGTCTTACTTCAAAGTATCACTACTGGACATTTCTCCAGACTGAGACCAATATCCGCCTTACAAATGAACATTTTGTTACACCGAATATCAAAGGATTCACTCTAAAGCAAATAAAAAAAATATCATTTATTTTATACCCTTGTGTCAGTTTGTTTTAGTAGATACTCATATTTGAGTAGACGCTTCGTTTATTTTTTAAACAGTGTTTTATTTCGTCTACCGGTCTGAATATGAGAAATCTTATTAAAGAAAAATGCGCCACTTGGTATGATTCGAACCTGCATCTCTTTTCGCAG